CAGGACGGTCCCCTCGGCCCCACGCCTGCCCCTCCCCGCTCCCCGGGCGCAGGACGGTCCCTCGGTCTCTTTGTGTTCTTCCTCCCGTTGTTTGTGTGGGTCCCCTGAGAGGTTTGCTTGAGGTTCCCGGGGAGGCTGCTGCTGTGTACCCCAGGGCGAGCTGCTGCCCTCTCTGTGCCTTGGTGCTCAGGGCTAGTAACCCTGTTTTCCTGGATATGCAGAATGAAGCCTTCAGGCTCCCTCCCCTGTCACCACCTTAGGATCGGCGCCTTAAGACCCAGCAAGTGGGGGCTGGGCTGGGGCTCAGTGGCAGAGCTCCCACCTGGCACGTGTGAGGCCCTGGGTTCGATTCTCAGCTCCACATAAAGATGAAGACATTGTGTCCACCTAAAACTAAAAAATAAATACTGAAAAAAGGCAGAACCGGATGACACCAGTGGGTGGCTCGCACCTGTCCTCCCACCAGCTCGGGAGGCCGAGGCAGGAGGATGGCGAACCTCTTGGGAGGTTGAGGCAGGAGGATCACGAGTCCAAAGCCAGCCTCAGCAACAGCGGGGCCCTGAGCCGCTCAGTGAGACCCTGTCTCTAAGTAAAATGCAAAACAGGGCCGGGGACAGCTCAGTGTCGCATCGCGAGTTCAGTCCTTCCCCAGGTTCCGGGAGCTCGAGGTCCAAAACGGGAGGCCAGGGCTGGTCCCCCCGAGGCCCCGAGAGTCCTCGCCGGCCTCCTCAGCTCCAGAGCCAGCGGCACAGCGTCCTCAGCCTCTCTCTGGCCCTCCTGCCCCCCTCATGTGGACCCTGTGGTGACACTGGGCCCCGATGACCAGGATGACCCCACCTCAAAGCCAGCTGTCAGCAGCCCCATTTCACCAACTTGGCTCCCCTGGCTGAGCCCATGCCACACCCGCAGGCCCTGGGGACGGTCACAGACATCTTTGGGGCCACTCTTCTGCCCACCCCACGGACATCCATGCCCCCTGCCCCCCCCGCGCAGGTGATGTGGGTGGCCCCCGCGTCCGGAGCTCAGTGCCAGCCTGGAACCCAAGGACAGCCCTGGGACCGGGGTGGGAGGCTGGGCAGGGCCCAGCCGGGCCACTGGGGTGGACAGCCCTGACTAGACACTGTGACCCTGCTCTGGCCCCCCCTCAGCCTCTTCTGACCGGCCACCGCGGCCACTCGGACCCCAGCAGTCAGGCCCCATGGAACATCTCATCACCATGTCACACGTCAGGCGCAGGCCACGCTGCGGTGGCACGCGGCCGTCCCCGCGGCTCGGAGGCTGAGGCAGGAGGATGGCGAGTTCACGGCCAGCCTGGGCGACTCAGCAAGGTCCTACCTCAAAATAGAAAACGGAAAGCACCTTCCGCCTCCGAGCGCCCCGGGCCCGCTGGCCAGGCCTGGCCCTCGGGGGACGATGCCCTGGCCTGGGCCTCCAGCCCCAGGGGAGCCCCTCCGGGCCTGGCCCTCGCCCAGATCCCAGCCAGGCGGGGACACTGGCCGGGACACCTGCCCCAGGGTCTGGAGGGGACACCGTAGGCGGCCTTGTCCCCCTGCCCTCTCCACCTGGGACAGCAGGACCATAGGACCCAGCCTCGCGCAGCCTGCAGGCCGCGGTGCTCCAGGTGCCGGGGACGGTGGAGCTGGACCCTGAGCCGGGAGGATGAGGCAGGCCGAGGCTGGGGAGGTGGCCTCCAGCTAGAAGYGCCTCCACAGGCCGGGGGGGGGCTCAGGTGACGGGGGCCATCCCCGACCTCCCCCAGGGACGGGCACCGTGCTCAGGCTGCACAGCAAGCACGTCCCTGCCCTGTGGGGACGCCGCCGGCAGGACCCGGGGTCTGGCCAGGGGTGAGGCTTGGCGTGTGCTGGAGCGGATCCCTGGCTGCTGGCCCCTCATTCTGACCACAGCTTCCCGTTGGTGGCTCCTGCATGTCCACGTCTTCCAGAGATGGACACAGGGACAGGAAGTGGGACCAGGAAATCAGCTCAGAACCCACATCTGGAGCAGAAGGTGGGAGCCAGCTCTTTGGTTGCTGCAGCACAGAGAGGGACGGCGGCATGACATGGTCACACAGCCGGCAGAACAGAGCCGGCAGGGTCCTTGCTGGAGGCCGCGTTCCRGGACCCGGTGGGGGTGCCCCGGGGTATCTCCAGGGCCTGCCGAGGGGACCCCCTTTCTCCCAGGATGGAAGTGGCTGGGCCTCCTCTCGCCCCAGGTGGGGCAGCTGGAAGTGCCCGGGTCCCCGTCTCACAGGGGCCCCCACTGCCACCCAGCACGGCCCTCAGACCTCAGCCCGTCCTTCCTCCTCCCGCTCCGCGGGCAGCTGGGGCCTGCTTCCCCCGCACCGTCCCGCAGGCAGGCCAGGGGAGGAGRCCGCGGCTGGGGAAGTGATGCCACGGGTCCCGGCCCCTCCCCTGGCCAGCCTGCGGTCTAACCGCTGCCCAGTGCTTCCTGAACCCTCCCAGGAGGCCGGGGGCCCCAGCCGCTGGGATCCTGGCCCCAGGGTGGTCCCCGAGGCCACGCCAGTCCTGAAGGTAGGGGTCCTCAGGGGCGGGAGGAAGCAGCAACTTTTCCAGGTTGGGGGTAGGGGTGGCCAGAAAGGGCAAGGAACTCACTGAGTGTCACACAGCAGTCAAGGCTGGCGGGAGCCGGAGAGAGCAGCTCTGCTCAGAGCCCCCCCAACGTGTGTGGTCCCCTGCAAGTGCCACCCTCCTTCTCGCAGCACCATGAGCGGCCCTGAGCCAGGCGCCRAGAGCCCGGAGTCCGACCACCTGCCCTGGTCAGCGCAGCCCATCTATAGCAACCTCGGTGAGCAGCCCAGCTCCGGGGCCCTGTCCTGGGGGAGAKCGGGGGCAAGTGCTAGACTCGGGTGTGACGGAGACAGGGGACCGCAGGGCAGCAGACTGTAAAGATGGCCACCAGCCCAGAGCCATGTGGGAAAACCGGGGTCCCCGGTGTTGGAGTCTCTAAGACTGACCCCCTCCTCTGAGCCCGGGCTTCTCTCCCGCAGAGTGGGGGTGGCAGCCCGTCCGACAGGACCAGAGGTGGCCGGTGTTTCCATTTTAACCAGGGGGCGGCCACAGCTGTCATCCCAGCAGCTCTGGAGGCTGAGGCAGGAGGGCCAGAGTTCGAGGCCAGCCTCCGCTACTTAGCCAGATCTTGTCTCCAGCTAAGATCAAAGGGCTGGGGTGCGGCTCTTGGAGGGCGCTCTGTTCCTGACCCTCAAAAAGCAAACCAACCAACCCACATTTCACTTCAGAGACAGGGAGACGCAGGGGAGTGCCAGGGCCCACATCCTGCAGGTCCTCAACTGGCCCCTCTCTCCTGACAGGGGAGGTGCGTGCCCACCTGCTGCCCTCCAAGGCCTGCCGCCCCCGGACTCCCAGGTCCCTCTCCTCTGACCCCCAGCCCCCACCCCCGCCCCTGCCCAAGAAGACCCTGGCCCGAACCCAGTCCCTGCCCACCCGCAGGGCCCCCGGTCCCAGCTGGGCCCGAGCAGGGCAGCCTGGGCGGCCCCTCCAGGGGTCCCCCAGTGAGGACATGAGCCGGGCCCCGGGGCTGACCTGGGATGGACCCAGTGCCGCGCTGGGCCTCTCCACCCACCCCCTGCACAGCCCCGAGGCCGTGCAGGCCGCACTGGCCTCCCGGCAGCTGGACGCCCTCCGTGACATCCACTCGCGGCTCCGAGCCCGGCTCATGGGTGGCCGCCCGGGCCCCTGCCTCCCGGGCCACAGCTTCCGCCTGCTGGACAGCTCGCCTTGCGTGGAGAGCGGGGAGGCCCTCTACTACCGAGTGGTGCGCATGGACGGGGTGGCCTGGCACGTCCTGGCTGCCAAGGTGAGCCTGCCCCTGGCACCCAGCACACCCGGGTGCCCTCCCTCCTGGGCACGGCCCAGGGTGGCCCAGCCCAGTCCACGTGTCCACTTTGCAGCTCAGACATGACTAGACGCCTGGAACCGCCTGTCTGAATGTGGGGCCAGCACCTGGGCGGCACCTGGGGTTGTGGAAATCCCTCCCACACCTCTCAGAGGCCAGGGGTCCGCTTTGCCTCCTGCCCGGGCCAACTCGGCTACACACCTGAGTTCCAAGGCTCCTGGGTCCAAGCTGGGCACCGAGGCTCATGCCACAATCCCAGAGGCTCCGGAGGCTGAGGCAGGATCACCAGTTGGAGGCCAGCCTCAGCTACTTAGAGTAGTTCCATTCTCAATACAGAACACTAAAAGGGCCGGGTGGCTCAGGAGCAGACTCCCCGTGTCAATCCCTGGCACCAAATAATAATCCTAAGGCATGAGATGGCCCCATCGTGGGCTGGCCTGCGACCCGGGTCCAGCCCGCCTGGGAGCGTCTTTCTGAAAACCCGCCGGAGCCCCAGCCCAGCGGACTCTGGAGCCTCTTCCAGGCCCGGGCTCTCACCTCCCAGAATGCTCCTCACCGAGGAGTCTGTCAGTCACCCAGACTCCTGAGACCCGGGGTGTGGCTGGTCCCCTGGGAGTGTGCTGGGTCGAGGGCACACCAAACCTCAGTGACACCGGTCTAGATGACATCCCTCACCACGTGAACACCCAGAGATTCTTGACTCGATGGCCTCTTTTTTTTTTTTTTTTTTTTTTTTTTAAGAGAGAGTGAGAGAGGAGAGAGAGAGAATTTTTAACATTTATTTTTTAGTTCTCGGCGGACACAACATCCCTGTTGGTATGTGGTGCTGAGGATCGAACCCGGGTCGCACGCATGCCAGGCGAGCGCGCTACCGCTGAGCCACATCTCCAGCCCTCGATGGCCTCTTATTTTAAATACTGGGGTCCATAGAGACATTGTGAAAATCACCTTCACTGGCTGCCTGTCACGGCCTCCAGTGTGGCTAGTGGCCAGCTTCAATACACAGGCGGGCCAGTATTTCCATGGGACATCCTGGCCTGGGTCCTGACTGACACCTTCTCCCTGGGTGAGAACCACTCTTTGGTAAACAGGGACTTTCACCCCTGACCACCCTCCTCTCGGGCTCCATTTCCCTGAGGCCATTGTTAGCCACTAACATCCAAAGGAACACGGTGATCCGGTGATGGTCTGTTCCTGGAGGTGCTGGGGCCGCCTTCGCTCCAAGCCTGGTCCAGGGGCCTGAGGCAGGCAGGGAAGGCTTCTAGAAACGTAGGGCCCCTCCTGCGGGCTGTGCTGGTCGGGGGACGCAGTGGTCGGGGTCTGATGGCCCCCTCTGACCCACAGGTGCCCAAGCCGGGAGCGACCGTGCCCCACCCATGGGGCGTGGAGCTGCAGGCCTCGTTGCCTCCGCACTTCAACCTGCAGGGGCTGTGTGGCTTGGTGCCCGAGGGCGCGCTGCCGCTGGCGCCCTGGAGAGGTCCCGCGGTGCTGGCCGCGGAGGTGCCAGAGCGTACAGTGGCGCAGTGGCTGGCAGAAGTCAGCTCACAGCGGCCAGCGGAGTCTGCGTGGGAGGTGGCCCTCTTGTTCCTGCAGCTGAGCGCCGCCCTGGAGCGCCTGGAGGCGCAGGGCGCGACCCTGCTGGAGCTGCGGCCAGAGAACCTACTGCTGGCAGCGCCGCGAGGCTGTGGGGCCCCAGGACCCCCGCGCCTGCTGCTTGCCGACTTTGGCTGCGTCTGCCAGCGGCCCCAGGGATCCCTGGGCGCCCATGCGCTGCAGATGGGTCGCCTGCTCCGTACACTGCTGGGCCCGGCCACGCCCTCGGCCACACSGGTGGCCGTGGGCCTGGAGCGCCTGGTAGCCCAGCTGCCCCGAAGGCGGCCCTCGGCGGCTCAGACGCGGGGTGCGCTGCAGACACTGCTCTGGGGGCCGGGGCTTGAGCTGCGTGGCCGCGGGGCACCGCTGGGGCCCTGGCTGCGGGTTCGCCGCGCGCTGCTGGTGGTGCATCTGGCTGAGCGCGCTGCAGGCGGGGAGGCGCTGGGCCTGGAGGACTGGCTGTGCTGTGAATACCTGGCCGAGGCCACCGAGGCCTCGCTGGGCCACGCCCTGGAGCTGCTGTGGGACTGACCCCAAGGAAGAGTGCACACCTACCTGTCTCCAGGCCTGCTGGAGAAGCAGCACCCCCTTCCCAGGACTGGGACAGGGCCAGCATCGCCATCAGAGTGCAGGAGGCCAGCAACCAGCACAGGGTGTTGCTCCCACCTGGGCGGAACTCACCGCCCCAAAGGCCCCTGCCAAAAAGTCCCAACCCACATCTCTAAGCAAATAAAGCGCCTCCTGGGCCCTTGCTAGCGTCTCTCCTGTTTTCTGCTACTTGCGGCTAGGCTCACCGTCTCTCTTACCAACTACCTTGCCCATAGGCTGAGCTCCCTAGGCTGGGCCAGGCCTGGCACACAGCAGGTGCTCAATAGCATGGTACTGGAGCGACTGACACTGAAGCCACCTGGGATCCCAGTGGCTCAGGAGGCTGAGGCAGGAAGGTACCAACTTTGAGGCCAGCCTCAGCAATTTAGCAAGGGGCTAAGCAACTTAAAGACTCCATTAAAATAAAAAAAATTAAAAAAAAAAAAAAAAGGACCTCTGGGTTAATTCCTCAGCACCGCTCTCCAGCCTGTTTCCCATCAAAGATAGGGAATCTCCCAGTGGCATTCCACAGTGTGACCTGCAGGGAGCGCTACAGCTGCAGGGAAGGCCAATAGTCACCTAAGTGTCCATCCAGGGTCTCCTCTCCCTCCTGCCATCTTTGGCCTTGACCCTCAACTTACCCAGCCCATCAGACAGGGCAGACACCCACCTGGGCCTGTCCACTTTTGCTCAGGCCCAGAACCAAGAATGCCACTCCCTGGGTGCTGCAGAGTGAGGCTGTGAGACACAGAACTGGAGACTGAGGGCCCATGGCCAACTCCCACAGGGACTTAGTCCACCAGGACCGCCCCCTGAGGGCTGGTGGACAACGTGAGCCCCTGAGCCACCTGACCTGCCAGGAAGACTAAGGGACCAGTCAGATGAGAACACCCAGTCCCTGGGGATGCAGTAAGTTGCAGCTGTTCACTTGGAACTCAGGGGAAAGGGCTGCGACTTGGGTTCAAGTCCCGCAGCCCCCCACCAAGATATTGAGGGGGCTAGAGACTGTTCCAGAACCATCAACACCAGCCTGATACCAGCTTGAGTGTGGGGCAGCAGGGTAGGCTCAGACCCCTGGCTACTGTGTACAGGTGGCCCAAGACCCCAGCCCAGGACGTCCCTCCCGGGGCCCACTCCCAAGTTAACACCATGGAGCCAACAGAGGTGTGACCACTTTTATTGGGATTTTTGAGAGCAATAAAGGGGTAGGTTAACACCTGTCTCTCCAGGTGAAGAGACCAAAACTGTTTCCAAAGACTCCAAAGAAGAAACTCCTCAGGTACAGATAATCTGAATCATCTTAAACCAGCAATAAAAAAGTAAAATATAAATTTTTATTTAGAATTAAAGCAAATACTTCAGTATCACAAACACAATATTAAACTTCAAGAAATATACCACTAATTTGGAGTGAGCGTTTATTTGCACAATTACGACATGCGGACAAACCCAGGAGAGACGGAGGAGGAGCAGGACGTTCGAACCCCAGCACAGCTGCCAGGCCCCCACCCCCACACACAACACTGGGGGGCCTGCCTTCCAGGGCGTCCGTCTCCAGCCCGGTGGGCCCTGAGGAGCTGCGTGGCCACTACTCCTCCTCTCCTGAAGACTCTTTCTCGAACGTGTAGGCCATGAAGCAAGCGTCGGGTCTCTTGGGGACAAGGGGATGCCCTGGTCTCACAATCTCAAAGCCCAAAAAGCTGAAGGTCCGGAGCAAAGCGGCTGCGGGGGAAACACTGTCAGCCTGCAGGGCCCTGGACACCAGAGGGGCTCCCAGCAGTGAGAGGGGGCAGGCAGGCAGACCAAGAACTCCCACCAGGTGCAGGCGGGTGGAGGTATGATGTGGGAGGCACCTCCGCTCCCCCCACCCTGCAGAACCAGGGTAGCAGGTGGAGTCACCTACCTCTGTCCTCGCGGTTCTTATGGAAGCAAATAAAGACATGGTCAGCATGAAGTTGCTCTTCAGCAAACTCAAGAAGAACTGCAAAACTGAAGAAAGCACAGACGTCAGCACCCTGTGCACCCTCTGGTTCTAGCCCTGGCCCCGTCCATGTCTCCCAAGCCTCATTCAAAGTGGACACCTGCCTCTGTGCCTGGGTCCCCACAGGGCATTGCGGACTACTACGCCATGTGTTCTCTGGGCATGGCATGCCCCTCGTATCCCATCAGGACAACCAAGAAAGGTCTCCAGACACTGCCACTGTTCCCTGGGAGCAAATTCTGTAGGTGAGACCTGCTGGTGCCCCATTTAAAACGCTTCCCCCGGGGCTGGCCCTCACCTGTCTTTGCTCCCCTCAGGCAGAGGGCCAGCTGGGATCTCGATGTAGAGGCTGTTGCTGCTCCACACTGCTCTCCAGTTAATGTGTTTGGCATCTGTGAGCCTGGACTGGACGTTAAGAATTCTCGTCTTGTTATTAGACGTTAGTTCCTCTGTTACATTCAGCCGATTATCCTGTCACAGGAGAGAGCCCAGACTGCTATTTTGGAAACCCATCACATGACCCATCACCCCTCAAAGCAAAAGCAACACCTGATGGCTGCTTGCTGACAATCTGGAAAACCCAGAAAGCACCACAGCAGGGTCACCCAGCAGTGCTAATACCTGGGCCTCAAAGCCTCTCAGGGAGGTGGCTGAAGTCCAGGACAGGGGCCCCAGTTTGAGGCTCCAATGGGAGCCAGAAAGATTATTTGCTGCTTGGGGCCTTCTGTGCACCTGGTTTGATAAAGTTCAAACTCCACGTGCAGGGAGCAGCAGGTGACTTCTGCTCAGGCCCGCCGGAGCGTCATTTGGGAATCACACTCTTGCTCTATCCCCACTCAGACACTGACCAGCCCAAGGAGCCCAAATACTTACAGAGTAAAATAAGTTAGCTGAAAGATTGTGATCCCTCTGACTATTCCCTCGCCCACCTGGGATCTTCAGGGGTGGGTGAGGGACATCAGGAGCACCACCGAGGCCCTGGACCCAGGTTACTACAGCAACTGAGGGAGACCCTAGAACTGGGAGAGAGAGGCTGGTTAAGGGGGCAGCCCAATCAACTTCGCCTTTGTCTGCCTTCCAGAGCCCACTGCCTACTGCACTGTGCCTTCCGGAGCCATGCCTCTGGGCTGTCCAGGGTTTGCCTAAAGCCTTCAACCTGGACAAGAGAAACAGTGGACGGGAATCTGACTCCTGGGGAGAAAATGTTGATGCCCACAATTCTCTGCTCTGACCATCTAGGGATGGGCGGTCTTGCCCAACCCAAGCCCGCCACACTGCTTCCCGTTTCGTGATTGTCATTTTTGTGAGCATCATCATAATGTCACTCAACTATTCTTCCCAGGTCTCTCTTCTCTCACTAACTGCTGACAGTGTGTGTGTGGATATGGTGTTTCTAAATGAAGTTGCTTTGGGGCGAAGATTCTTTTCATCTTGTTTTAATGAAGCCAAATTGGTGCTAATTTCTGTCAGATTCTATACCAGATACTGCAAAACAACTCTGCTTTTGTGGAGTGACTGCAAGAGATGCCCAATCCAAGCCCGCCACACTGAAGTTTCCTTCCCTTTTCTAACCTCAACACTTCAGCTTCCCCTTTCCAACTTCACACTCCCGCAAGAATCTGAAAGTCTAGCTCTTCTCAGAGACGGGCCACCGGTCTCTAAGGGAACTTCCCTCTCCCTCTCAGGCGCAGACCTTTTGTCGTCAGGCAGAAGCCACCAGGGCGCACAGGCTCACAGCCTGTTTTGATCCCAACCCTTGACAGAGGGCCTGGCTCCGCCCCTCTGGCACCCAGGGCTCAGGCCCAGAGTTGCGTCATATCGCTGACTCGCCTCACGCCCCAGGGGGAGTTTTTCACAATTGCGCACCCGGCAGCTCCAGCAGCCATTTGCTGCGCAGTGTAAACAGCCCCCAAATCGCCTCCATTTTGCACAGCCTCGAGGGGGGGGGGCACCAGACCGCAGCCCCACCAACACAGAGGTCAGTTTCCCAGCCGCAGGAGCCATCAACGCCCACCTGGGAAGTCTGCCTCGGACGCCACCCCAGCAGAGGCAGGGCCAGTACACCGCCAGCCGCAAACCACCGCCGCCTCCGGCACGGCGCGCACAGAAGCGGCCTGGATCGCTCTTCCCAGCAGGTGGCCGCCATCGCCGCCCTGCGCTCCGCTGTACTGTCCCGCCGCGGCAGTCACAGCAGAAAAAAGCCCCAAGCACCGTCTACGTGGGCGGCCTAGCCCGGAGCACGTCCAGGGCCTGGGCCATCCAGACCAACTCTCTCCGGAGCTCGAAGCGGAGCCCACGAGAGCGGCCGTAACAGGGGACCAGCTTAAGAGAGTGAATCCAGCCACGGAGAGCCCACGGTCCCTGCAGGCAGTCAGGGGCGGCTGCGACCGAAAAGTGCAGATTCATGCGACTGCCGGCCCCAGTCGGCCTCCGGGCAGCCCAGACCCCACCCACCCCTGGATCTGACCCGACCCACACTAGGGCCCGAAACAGACTCCTCCACAGAGGCCCCAAGCCATCGAGCCCAACCGACACAGGTCCGGCCCTCGACCCCACCGGACTCCCTGTCCTGAGCGCCCCAAACCTCTTCCCAGGCTCACTCCCCTTCCCCCCGTCCCCCTCCACACCTGATTCCCAACTTCAGGCCACTCCCCGCAATGCGACTCTCCTTTCCATGCACTCGAATCAGACCCCAATCGCACCCCAAAGCGGAGACCGCAAGTAGAGACCTCCAAACCCCACCACCCCTGGAGCCCACCTCTTCATCTCGGTCCCCTAGTCCACTCCCCTCCCCCAAGCCAGTCCCCAAGCTGCGACCCCTAAACTAACCCCGAAGAGAACCCCTCTCCCCGATCCGACTCCCATCCTGCGACCAAGCCTCGCACTCGACCCACACCCCGCCCTAAATCTTTCTTCATCCTGCCACCCACAAAACCGGGCGCACGACCCCACGCCCCGCCCCCGGCCCCCCCAACGCGCTCCGGCCGGGGGCGCCCGGGACCGGCCCCGCCCCCGCCGCCGAGAACCCGCCCCCGGCGCGATTGTGGCCTGGACAAAGGGGCGGATCTCGCGCTCCCAGGACCTATCTGGCTCCCGGAGACCGGGCCCCCTGGGCCTGCGCGGCCAGCGCTTCTGGAAGCTTCGGGCGGGGGTGGGGCGCTCACTTCTCGCTGCTGCGGCCGCCGCGGCTGTGCAGACTAAGTAGCGGCATGGTGCGGCTGGCGTGGACGGTGGCGCTAGGTTTATCCCCTTCCTTCTCTCTGGCGAAGCAGTGGCTGTTGAGGATCCGCTGCAGGGAGGATTTCACCATCCGGCCGCTGGGGTCCGAAACCAGGAAAACCTCCGCTGCGCCTCTCCGCGCCGCCGCCGCTGCTCGCCGTTCGCAAAATGGCGCCGCTGCCGCCTCCCACCTTTATAGGCGTCGCATCTAGGCCACGCCCCCCACGCCGTCGCAAACGCAGCCGCACGAGGGGGCGGAGCCGCGGGGCCGCCGGGAGAACCAGGTACTCCCGCCCTCCTCGGCATCTGATTGGTAGAGGGCGAGGGCCGCTGGCAAGTCCGTGACAAGAATTGGTCGATTCGTTTCGGGTCCCTCCCCCTGCGGCTAGCGTCACTCTACAGGCGTGAGAGGGGCGGAGCCACCGTGGCATCGGGTGCGCGCTATACGCCCCGCCCCCACGCCGTCACCACAGCCAGGCCTTGGGGCGGGGGCGCGCGTCGCCCGCTTTCTGGGGCCCTCTCGGTGGCCGCGTGTCCCTCTGGTCCCCCATCGTCTCCTCTGGGGTCCCGTCACCCATCGGGATCATCCCCGCCTCGGTGGTTCTGCGCGACACAGGCCCCGAGGTCTTCGGGGGGTCTCAGGACTCCCATCCCCCATAGCAAGGAATTACTTTCATCAATGACCTTGGGGTAATCCGCGATCCTTGTGGCCCTGGTTCCTCTTGTTTGGAAGCAATTTAGAGAAGAACTGTTAGATACTCTAAGCTGGTGAAGTTTTCGTGTAGAATTTGGACGTTGGCAAAAATCGTACTTGGCACAGATAAATTCAGAAGGATTTAGTGTGTGTGGACCACAGTGTGCCCCAAGCAAAATTACAATTCAGAGTATTATGAACCAAAATTTGGATTTGTTCATCCTTTTGCAGTTAAGTTTGGTGAAGTAATTTGTGTGAGAACTACAACCTAGACTTAAGCAAGAATATCTTACCTCCTAGGTAAATTCAGAACGTATTTCATGTGTGAATTACAATCTGCATTTAAGGAGCAAAGGTGGAACTTGGTGTGGTTAAATTCAGAACGTATTTCGTGTGTAGACTAAAACTTGGACTTACCAAGCAAAAACACTTCACTTCAAAGTTAAATTCAGTAAAATAGTTCCTGTTTTATGTATATACTAAATGTAGCTTTCAGCAACCCTCCCCTCCAAAAAACAAAATACTACTTCCTGCAAGGCCCACTTTGCTTTTCAGGTCCTACTTTGATTATTTTGGTGTTGGGAATTGAGCTTAGAGGCTCACACATGCTCTATCACTGAGCAAGATCCCCAGCCCTAGCCAGGAGGGAGGGAGGGAGGGAAGAAGGAAGGACCCTGTTTCAGCTGATGGGCAGAACCATAGCCTTTGGGACAAGAGTTCCTGGTGTTTCTCCTTTACTAGCAAAGCAATAAGACCTTGCTTGGTGTTTCATGCCTGTAATCCTAGCTACTGGGGAGGCCAGGGCAGGAGGACCACAAGTTTAGGCCAGCCTCAGCAAATCAGTGAGACCCTGAGCAATATGGCAAGACTCTGTCTCAACATCAAAAATAAGGAGCTTAGCCAGGCGTGGTGGCACACACCTGTAATACCAGTGGCTTGGGAGGCTGAGGCAGGAGGATTGAGAGTTCAAAGCCAGCATCAGCATCAGCGAGGCTCTGAGCAGCTCAGTGAGACCCTGTCTCTAAATAAAATACAAAATAGGGCTGGGGTGTGGCTCAGTGGTCGAGTGCCCCTGAGTTCAATCCCTGGTACAAAAAAAGAAAAAATGCTGGGGATGTGGCTTGGTGGTAAAATATTCCTGGTTTAATCCCTAGTACCAAAAATAAAAATAAATAAAAATTGATAAATTAATTGAAAAATAAATAAATAAAAATTGTTTTGGGGTGCCCACTGCTGAGCCTCAGCCCTAGTGTTGATCTTTTTTKGGGGGGAGTGGGATTGAACCCAGGGACACTTTACCGTCAAGCCACATCCCAGCCCTTTTTATGTTGAAAGAGGGCCTTGCTAAGTTGCTGAGGCCGGCCTGGAACTTGCTGTCCTCCTGCCTCAGCCTCCCGAGTTGCTGGGATGATGGTGCCCATCGCACCTGCCATGGTTTAAACACAAACGGGAACTCTGGGGAGTTACGTGGGGTCGCAGCCACTCCTGCCTGTTCCCGTGTCTTGGCAATGCTGGGTTCTCACGGTATTCCAGGCCTATTTGAGTTAGACTCAACCTTCCCCTAGGGGCCTCAAGTGACTGCAGACCCATGGAAGTCGTCTCCGATGGGAGGTGCCTCCAGGTACCCTTCCGTGGGGGGAACACCAGTCAGAGGACAGTGATACAACTGGGTAAGCAGAGGTTAGGCCACTAGAGAATCGTTTGGGGGACGTGCATCTTATCAAGAAGTTGTGGAGAACGGGGGTCGTGGAGAGCATAGAAAGTAGGTGGTCTTTGCTGACCGTCCGTCCGTCGTGGGGCTCTCTGCCCAGAGTACATCTCATGTCCAATGTRTGCTCCCAGCAGCTGGCCCTGGGCAGGGCTGGGCCTGCCTTGGAGGAGGTGAGGACCTTTGCTATTTCGGGTTCTTCCTTTTCAGTGCTGGGGTGACCCCAGGGCCCCCCATTGCTAGGCGAGTGCTCCACCCCAAGCCGCGGTCCAGCCCAGCCTGTGGGTTTTGAGATCTGTTTTTTGACCTCTGAACAGCTCCCCAGGGCAGGCAGATGGGCAATTCTGGGCCAGGTGTGCAGAACCTGGCCTGACAATGGCCAGCCTTGGTCACGGGGGCTGTGGCCTGCTTACCCTCCATGACTCAGGCCAGAAAGTGACCCCTAGGACCGTCTGGCCCAATGGGGCACTCTGCATGGCAAGGCAAGCTCCGGAGTGACCTTTGGGTCACACCTGGCCACATGGAGGCCAGAAGCCTCCCGGAAGGCGGGGGTGGGCAGGGTTATCTCTCCTTGGCAGACTTGGTCCAGTCGCTGGCCAAAACCACTTTAGTTTGGAATCTCTGTGGGTGAAAAGAAGAAGTAGAGTCACTTGGTGAAAAACAAATGGAGACTGGCRTTTGGGGTCAGAGCAGGCGGGTGGATTGCAGTGGCCAGGGCCCGGCGTCAGGCCTGCTTTCCTGAGGACCCTTTTCGCAGTAGCCCAGGAAGCAGGAGTGACCTGGATACTGCGTGGGAACCCTGCAGCTGCTCCCCTTGGCCTCTGGCCACCCCCAGGTCACAGACACCAAAGCCACTTCCTCCAGCACCCTGAGGACCCTGCCCCGCCCCCTGGTCCAGCCCGCCCACTGCCAGTGTCAGAGAGTGAATTCCTGGTGGACGCTGGGGGAGGTGTCCTGGGCCCTGAGGTGCTGAGCAGAGTCCCCAGCCTCTACCCTCCAGGCTAAGAGCTCCCTGTCATGATGGCCACCAGTGCCCCCAACACCCACTGTCTGCATCCCTGGGGGCAGAGTCACCCACCCGGGGGCGAGGCCACAGGGTCACCTAGTGGAGCAGGTGGGCTGGGGGGAGGGGTCTGCAGCCCAGGGGAGCAGGCAGCCCTTCCCTCTCACCCAGGAGCTGCTGTGGCACTGTACAGGGGCAGGGGCAGCCCCCGACTGGCCGGCCACACCGGTTAACGCTCTGGGTGACAGAGGGGTCACCCGTGCATCCTGCCAGGGACCCAGGGCCAACCTGGATCTGGTGGGAGGTGCCTGAGGGCGCAGGGAGCTGTGGAGGGCGTGGCCCTGGCAGCAGGGGTGGCAGCAGGCGTTCTGGGTGCATCCCGGAGGTGGTGGCGCGGCCGGCGGGCAGGGGTGGCAGTGGGGGCCAGAGACCGGCTTTCACAACTGAAAAAAGAATTTAAAAAAAAAAAAGCGACTCATGGAGTTTGGTGAATAAGGGCCCTCTGAAGTGCCATATCCTAATTACCAGAACTTGTGAACATGTCACCTCCTGGGGAGAAGGGACTCAGGTATGACCAGGGGAGGGTCTTGAGCTTTGGCCACCCAGGGTCACTACAGGGTCCTGCTGAGAGGAGGAGCAGGGTCAGGGTCAGAGGGCCTGGAAGACGCTGTGCTGCTGGCCCTGAAGCTGGAGAGGGGACGGGGAGTCTCCCTGGGGTCTCAGGAGCTGGAAGAGAGGACCATGGACTGTCCCTGGGCCAGGGAGGCCCTCGCTGGACTGGGGCCCAGGCCTGAGGGGTGTGTGGCTGCAGGCTGAGCCCCTGGGCAGGAGCTGGCCGCCCGGCGGGAGCCGGGCCCTGGCTCTGCATGAGCCTCGCCTCCAGGCTGCAGCCCAGGTGTGTCCCGCGCCCGCCCGGGTCGGCCCTGTGTGCTGAGGTGCTTTGGGAAGTGGGGTGACGCCTGCAGCTGACTTTGAAATGAAATTGGAGGAAGCAGGCTGGGGTGCCACTCTGGGGCGAGCACGTGACCAGCCTGCACCAGGCCCTGGGTTCCACCCCCTTGTCACCCCAAAACACAGCATAGCAAAGTGCTACTTATAGGCCCCAGGTGGCAGGTTGCGTGCGCCCCTCCGGTTCCCAACTTCTGTCACGCGTGACGACTGTACTAATCAGCTGCTCGCTGTGGCTCTCAGCCCCTGGCACTTCCTGCCCCACGAGGTGACACGGCAGTGGTCACAAGCTTCCTCTTCACTTTTGAACACTGTGACTGCTTGTTTTTTAAAACCATTTTAAAAATCGCCGATGGACCTTTATTTCATTTATTTATATGCGGTGCTGATGCTGATAATGGAACCCAGGGCCTGGCCCCTGCCAGACAGCGCCCACCACGGAGCCAGCCCAGCCCCACCCCGTGGCGTCGGTGTTTGAACAACTGTTGTTGCTGAAGAAAAGAGGACTGGTTGCTCATTTAGTGGTTTTCCCCTCTCTCCCAGTCCTGGGGAGGGAACCCAGGGGGTGCCACCCACTGCGCTCCCCTGGCCCTTTGCATTTTGTATTTATTTTATTATTTTTTGGAGAGGTACAGGGATTGAACTCAGGGCCACTCGGCTGCCGCAAACTGCCCGGCCCCGGGCCGGCTGAGTCCCGCTCCTGCTGCCGAGCACTGCCTGCGGCACCCCTGCTGAGCGATCCCCTGCTGAGCTGTCAGTGCACRCGGGCTTGCAATCTTGCAACCCGGTTGGGCACAAAAACACAAGCCAGTCAAACTGAGACAAAGTTTTATTTAGAGAGAGGCCGTGTGCGTCCCCTAACAGGTGGGTCCGCCACGTGTGTGTTCTACCTGAGCCGGGGGGGTTTCCCCTTCCCCCGGAACACCCTCCTACCATCCTTTCCCAACCAATGGGAACTCTCCCATTACAAGAGTGACATGAGTAACCTGAGTCTTGAAATGGGCCCAGCTGAACAGCATGAGTCCAATTACCATATGAATGTGAATTGCTGGCTGGCAGTCAATAAAATCCAAAGGTGCCTGTATCAATATTTTTGCTGTGGCTCCTAACACTCGGCCACTGAGCCACGTCCCCAGCCCTTTTCTGTATTTTATTTAGAGACAGGGTCTCACTGAGTTGCTTAGCGCCTCACTTTTGCTGAGGCTGGCTTTGAACTCTCGATCCTCCTGTCCCAGCCTCCTGAGCCGCTGGGATTGTTAGGCCTCCCATGTGGGAGGCCCTGGGTTGGATCCTCAGCACCACATAAAAATAAATAAACAAAGATATTGTGTAAAAAAGTGCTCATTTAAAACATCAAAACTTGGAAGGAGCTTGGCAAAGCAGGGCAGGTTCCTGTTCCTGCCCGGTGACATCCTCGGATACCCAAGGGGTGCCACTCATGCCCTTGGCAGCAGGAGAAGGCTCTGGAAGGTCTGGAGGCGGCAGGAAGTGCCCCAGCGGGAAGTAACCCCAGGCCAGGGCCACGACTCCCGGGCACCTGGACAAGAAGTGCCGCACCCACTCCACTGACCGGGCCCGCAGCCCAGGCCAGTGTCCCTCGGGCGTCCTTGTCCTACACCCGGCCTTTTAAAGGTCACTTTGAGGCAGGGTCTCCAGAGGTTGCTCTGGGTCTGGCTAGGTGGCTGAGCCTGGCCTTGAACTTGGACCCTCCTGCCTCAGCAGTGTCACATGTCTGTGGTCCCAGCCACTTGGCAGGCTATGGCAGCAACAGCAACGTCAGGGGAGCCCAGGGCCTGGCGGCCAGCCTGAGCAGCTCAGTAAGACCCCGCCTCACACATGGAGGGGCAGGAGTGGTGGTGGCCAAGGGGGCTCCCGCGCGGCAAGCCCTGGCACAGCCCCTGGTACTCAGGAAGACAGGGCCAGTGAACTYGGGGCGGGAGACGTGGCGTCCTGTTCAGCGGGCAGCTTGGCCCTCACCCGGTCTGTTGACCCATGGGGAAGCCCAGGGCCGCCCCGGAGAAAGGCCCTGGGAGGTGAGGGGCAGCCCCGCTTCTCTCCTGTCCTGGGAGTCTCGGCTCCTCTGTTGGTCAGTGTCACGGAGTGACCTGCTCAGAGGGAGAGGGACCTGCCCAGCCCCAGGGAGGCGCCCCCTCAGCAGGTCTGGGCTCCGTGGTGGGGTCAGAGACGAGTTCTGAGAGAAGGCCCGGCTGCGGGGCCTGGCTGGGGGGCCCTGCCCTGAGGGAGGCTGGGGGAGGGCAAAGCAGCCATTGGCCAGGGAGGGGCAGCTCAGCCGCAGGAGGACGTCGGCCTCCGCCCACTGGGCCTCCCGCAAAAGCTCAAGCTCTCCTGGTGCAAGGCGAAGTGGTGCGGTGATGGTGACGTCGGCAGCCAGCTGAGGGTTCCTCAGAATCGACGGGAGCCAGGTGTGGTGGCTGGCCTGTCGTCCAGCTGCAGGGAGCCAGACCTGTCTCAGCATAGGACGTCGCGGGCTGGGTGTGGCTCATGGGACAGCGGGGGTTCCAGCCCCAGTGCTGGGGACAAAGATAGACGGGGTGGCACGTGAATTGTGTCAATAAGGTGCTTTCTTTAAAAAAAAAAAAATCAAACAAGATTTTGTCTTAGTTGTAGATGGACGCACGCCTTTATTTTGTTTATTTTTATGTCATGCTGAGGATCAAACCCAGGGCCTCCCATGTGCCAGGTTTAAAAACATTTTTTAAAATGATGACAAAAGCCAGGTGCGGTGGCACCTGCCTGTCATCCCGGCAGCGGGGAGGCTGAGGCAGGAGGAACACRAGTTCAAAGCCAGCCCCAGAACTCAGGGAGGCCCAGAACTCAGGGAGGCCCCGACTCTAATAAAATACAAGATAAGGGCTGGGCTGGGCTCGGAGGTAGCGCGTGGCCTGGCACATATGAAGCACTGGTTTGATTCTCAGTGCCGCCTATGAATGAATGAAATAAAGGTCTTTCAACAACTAAAAAAAAAAAGTAAATAAATAAAAATGAAATACAAAGTAAGGGCCGGGGTGTGGCCTGGTGGTTAGTGCCCTGGATCCAATCCCAGGTCTCAAAAATAATAATAATGACCACAGGGTTTCCTCCGCTGGAGAGTGGTGTCTTGGTTCCTGCCCTGCAGGAGGTGGCTGTCACCCCAGCCAGACCTGCACACAGTGGTGCTCTGTGAGGACTGTGGCCCAGAGGAGACAGCAGTCAGCAGGGCCCAGGCGCCGTCCCCTCTGGACCCCACTTCTCCTGGTTGTCACCCGTGGCTGGTCTGGTGGTGGCCTCACCCTGAATGGGGTGGGGTCACCCTCTGGCCAGTACCCTGCCTGGTTCCAGTGGTGGGGGTTGGGGACACTCCAGTGGTGATCTCGCGCCTGCCCCTCCCCTGCTCCACGGTCCTCAGTGAGGTCCGCCCAGCTGTCTCTGGCCACCTGTCACTGTCTGTCCCGTCCACCCTCCCAGATTCCATCCTGTGCTCCGGGCCCAGCGTGGTGGTGGCTGTGGGTAAGAGGGGCTGGGGAGCAGGGGCTGGGGAGGCCGTCTCCAGGGCTGGGGTCTGCTACCCTGCGCTGCCGCCCCCTCACCTGGGTCTCCCACCCTGGCCCTCTAGGCACTGAAGCCTTCCTCCTCCGCCCCTCAGGGTCTCCCAGCCCCAGGGAAGGGGGGCCTCCCTTCCTGGGGTGAGGGACCCACTAGAACCAGCAGCCAGAGGCCCGGGGACCTCAAAAAGCAAGGTCTGGGGCTGACTTCAGRTTGGCCGCGTCTGCAGCCTCGGTTTCCTCATCTGCCGTATGGGAACAGAGGCCGAGAGAGGAGGCCGGGGCCGTGGGCACGCTGGGACAGGAAGACCCCAGGACCCTCCTCCCCTGCCCTCAACTACTGTGGCCAGGGCCAGGTGGGTTCTGGCTGCTGGGGGTTGGGCCCCTCGGAACATGAGGATGGGCGAAAGCTTGGGGTGCCAGGAATGATGGGTGAGGATGGTCAAAGAGAGCCCCCAGAGGAGCAAGACCTGGGAGGGGCTCAGACACTGACCAGCTTGTGCTGCTGGCCTTGGACACCAGTTAAAAATAGTCCCTGGGCTCAGAGAACATGAGCTGACCCTGGGGCCCAGGTTCTGGTGTGGGCTGAGTCTTTGACTCATTGCTGTGTGACCTTGGGTGGATTCCAGTCCTCTCTGAGCTCCAGCAGCCTTTGCTGCCACACTCAGGGATGCTGGGGTCCAGAGAGAGAGGCCATGGGGAGGGCCCAGCGTGGTGGCTGTGGGTAAGAGGGGCTGGGAGGGTGCCTGGGGATGGGCCCTTGCAGGAGGTGACTGTGCTCAGAGAAGGCTGTTAGAGAGAGAGGGACCAGCAACAAGTGGGAAGTGGCAGAGGGAGGCTGGTGGCCTCCTGTCCTGGAAGGCCCAGGTGGTGAAACTCCTTTTCCCAGCCCTGGTCTGGGCCCCCTGCTGCTCCAGTCTACATGACCACCAGAGCCTCCGAGGAGCTGGACGGAGGCCTGGGCAGCTGCCTGGCCAGCGAGGACCTCTCTGCTTTGGCAGATCCCTGCCCAGGCCGGCCTCCAGGGGACAAGCCTCCAGGTACGCTGAGCCAGGTGGCTCACCACCAGACACCAGGGGTTACTGTCCCTCACTGGGCTGGAACTGCTCCCTGCGGCCAGCCTGGTCCCCATTCCTGCCTCGGGGGTCTTTCAGGAGCCCGGAACAGGTGCCCGGCCACCTGCATCTGGGTCTGACCCCTGGCGGCCTTTGGAGTCTTTGTGCTTTGGGGCAAGGGGCCTCTGAGCTCTCTGCAACTGGGAGGCTGCACTGTTAGCGCAGCGGCAGGTGGGGGTCTGACCTGGGGGCCCTGCCACCTGGCTAAGCTCTCTATTCCCACCCACAGAGACCCCCAGGCTGGGCAGCTCCAGCACCTGGCCCCAGGTGAGTGTCTGGGCCCTCAGGTGACAGCCCAGGATGCCCTTGGAGTTGAGGACAAATTGGCTAAGAGGGTGTGTCTCTTAGACCCCAGGGAGGGCAGGGCTCCCTTAGAGGAAAGACCTAAGGAAACAATGACCTGGAAAGTCTGGTGATTCCCACAGGAATCCTTCCCCGAGGCCGTGGGGAATGTGGCCACCAAACCCAAGAAGATGGAAAAGGAGCCTGTGGTCAGGGGGAGCCCAGGAGCTGGGAAGGAAAAGCTGAAATCTGGAGCAAGTGGGTTTGCAACAGGCATGGGTGAGGCAGGGGTGGGTACAGATTGGCATGGGGACAGGCTGCAGCCTGGGTCACTGAATTTAGGGGGTCAAGTGACCGGATGCCATGGGGGCTCCTGGATGCCAGTGGCAGGCAGTGCCAGCAAGGGCAGGGGCACCCGGTAAGCCAGAGCTGCCGGGCGTCCAGGGCTCGGCTCACCTGCGAGGGGCTGGGGCAGGCAGTGCCGGTCTGCCCTGCGCCCAGCGCGGGCGGAGGGTGCTGCGGAGCCCAGAGCCGGAGCTCAGAACACCCACCCTGCAGCCCCTCGGAGCGTCCCCGCACGTAAGAAGGCGCAGGCCGCGCCACCGCAGCCATCAGTGCCGCTCCCCGCCCTCGGGGAGRAGCTGCCCTGGGGAGACGTGACCCTCAACAAGTGCCTGGTGCTGGCCTCCCTGGTGGCGTTGCTGGGCTCCGCCTTCCAGCTGTGCCACGGTGAGCCGGGCTCCCCAGAGGTGGGATGGGGGTTGGGGACCAGGACGCCCGCTCCTCAGGGAAGGGCCCAGCACGCGCAGGGGCGGGGTCTGGGTGCCTCCTCTCCAGGGTGGGGGCTCTGGCCGGCCGCTCTCCTGCGCCCCTCCCTTGAGCTCGCTCGTGAGAACCCCTCCCCCAGTGACCGGCCTAGGACCACTCTCCCCTCCCCCTCCCGCCAAGGCCACGCTCACACCGGCCTCGTGGCCTGGGCTCCCCCTTCCAGCTCCTGCCTGGAGCACCCTCTGGCCCCACAGTGCGCCCCTTTTCAGCGCCCTCCAGAGGGGAGCKTCCTAAAGTCCATGTGGGACAGGCCTGAGACTCACCCTTTCTAGGGACTCTCCTGAAGCCCGCGTTAAAAGGAAAAAGGGAGGTGCGGGACAGGAGTGCCCTTGGCAGCAGGGAGCCCTGCCAGAGGCACAGCCCGGCCTACTCTGTGGTCCGGGGCCTGGAGCTCTAGGGTGGAGGGAGGGGTGGCAGTGGACAGTGTGACCCCTCCTAAGGCCCAGGCTGACCGGCTTTCCCCACCGGTCCGCCAGATGCCATGATTGGGGAGGGGACTGCCCCCACACCTGCCCCTGAGCCCTGGGTCCCTCGGAGTTCTCCGCACACAGAGCCGGTGTCCTCCCTGGTAAGCTTCCCAGAGGCTGCGGGAGGTGGGCCCTTGTCCAGGAGGAAGAGTGCGGCCGCCTCCAGACCCCACGTGCACGTCTTACAGCCTGAGCCCACCCTCCGGGAGCCCCCATCGAGACCGCCCGCTCCCCAGGCGGGGCCACCAGCACTCCAGGGGAAGACAGAGGACAGTCCCGAGGTCCCCATGACCAAGGAGGCCGCAGAGAAGGCTCCAGGGGAAGCTGGGGAGGCCACCAGAGAGGCTGATGGGGAGGACGGTGGGCCCAAGGAGAGGCCGCGGAAGGAGAGGCCGCGGAGGGAAGAGAGGCCGCCGAAGGAGAAAATCCGAAAGGAGAAGCCGCGGAAGGAGAGGCCGCGGGTCGCCAGGGAGGCCCGGGAAGCCCTGCCCCGACGTTGGGAGGCACGCGAAAGGGGCCATCGGCCTTGGGCGAAGGACCCCAGGTACCCTGAGCACAGGAAAAGGCAGGTCTGGGCCCCCCCGCGGCACCCTGACGACGAGGAGGACGGGCATCCAGGCCGACAGAAGCTCCGCGCGGGCAAGGGGCGGGGCTGAGCCGGGCCTGGGTCCCGAGCGCGTCCCGGGACCCATCTCGGCTCCCCTCAATGGCCCCGAGGCTCCAGCAAAATAAAGCGAGTGCTACGGCCAATGCGTTGCCTGCTCCTTCGCGCTTGGACCCCATGTCTGAATGGCATTGAGGGACCAGGGGTGACTCAGGCCCTGCACTTGAGAAGGCAGAAGGAGGCCCTCAGGGCTCCCCAAGACGCAGGGCGACCCCAGCTGAGTGCATGCTGTTTTTATTGGGGCGCTTGAGGTTTGAATAAATATGGGGAGGGGCGCGCGGAGTCCGTGCAGCGGCGGTCACCGGCAGCCGCACTCGGTGGCCACCATGTTGGGCACGTGGTGAGCGCTAATACGCTCCTCGGATAGACTAATGAGGAGTTTCCCCGCGTAGGCGGTGGGCACGCAGCAGGGTGGGCGAGCTAGAGCAGCCCCGCGGGCCTGCATCTTCAGCAGCAGAACCACGTGGTTGCCGTAGCGCGGGTTTCGGTCGGACTGCGGCCAGCCGCACTCACCCTGACAGTTATTGGCCTGGTATGTCTCTGGGATGAGCACAGAGCGTTCGGCGCGCAGGTCCACGCTGAGCTCACGCAGCGCGCACGGCCCGTTCCCTGCGCCTGTGGCCCCCGCACTCCGCTGCGCCCTCGCCGAACCGCGCTGATCCCGCCCGCGCCACTCAGCGCGCAATCCCTGCAAGGCCTTCAACAGCAGCAGCGCACGCATTGGGTCCCCGGGGCTGCCAGGGCYCTTAGTGTCACTGGAGTCACCCGGACACAGCTCCAGCAGACGCGCTAGCAATGGGGGCGCTGCAGGCGGCAGGCCCGGGAGTCCGCGGAGCTCCGCGGCCGCAGCCTGAAGCTCGATGGCCACGCGATGCACCAGGCCGGCGGCCCAGGGCGCTGACGCGGGGCCCTGCAGTCGCGTGGGGTCCCCAGAGGTGGCCGCAGCGGGCGGCAGCAACAGCAGTAGAGGCTCCTCGCCATCGAGGAGGCGTTTCAGTGCCGCGGGGTCTGACAGGTTGACTAGGCCCTGCGGGAAACCGGCAAGAGCGCCTGGGTCCAGGGCCAGGCGCGGCGATGAGGCTCGGGTGGGGGACCCTCGCAGCGCGCGCACCAAGCGCGTCAGCGTCTCCAGGAAGGGGTCTGTGCTGGGCGGCAGCTCCTCGGGCTCCGGGGACGACCTGGAACCCGCAGTAGGGGGCGAGGTAGTCTTGAGGGAGCCAGGTAGTGCCGCCTCCACCCCCCTACGCCCCCTGCTCCATGACCGGCACGCACCTGGGCGGCGGGAAGGGCACTATGTCCAACTGGCCATGGGCAGGCAGCGGYGTGGGCCCAGATGGCAGCAGGAAGAGGGCCGGGGTCATTCGCGTGAAGCAGTGGGGGTCGTAACCAAACAGCAGCGTCTGGAGCTGGGCGGTGCTCATGGGGCCACCTGTGGTGGGCGCACACTACTATGGCTCGGAGATTGGCACCAAGGGCAGCAGCCCCTGTCCAGTCTGCCTACCGTCTCCGTGGGGCCGCAGGGTCAAGGTGAGCCCAGAGCTGCTCCAGGCCTCGGCTGGGCGGTCCACGGCCAGCACCAGATAGCGTGTGTTGTGGGTCGGACAGAGGCCCTGTGGAGATGGGGCTCGGCCTGTTTTGGGGGGGCGCTGCCGCCCCCAGCCTGGCTATGCACATCCCTTCTCCCTGGTGCCTGACCACCCTTTTTCTCACTCACTGATCCTCTGTGCCTTTCCATTAAACAGAGACCTCAAAAAAAAAAAAAAAAAAAAATCCAGCCTCCTCCCCTCAAACAGGGCTCCTGGTGGCCCAGGACTGCCCTTTGCAACTCCCAGATACCTGGGCACCTGGCAGCCCAGCCCCGGTGACAGTCACCTCGGGGCCAGGTCCAGGGTAGAGCACCAGCAGCGCCTGCTCATGGGGGCTGGCTCCTCCGGGGGGCTCCTGGAACCTCAGCGAGGGCACTGGTTCCCATGTCACTGCAGCCAGGGCAACAGGGACACCTGAGCCACTGAGCCCAAGTGCTCCCCAGGCCTGTTCTGCACAAGAGCCTCCTCCCCAATTGCAGCCTCTGCCAATCTGTTGGGGACCAGAAGGTCTAAGGGTACTGTCCACTCTCCCTGGACACCAGGAGCAGGGGACCTCATCTGAAGGGACAGGAGGTCCCCTTCTCGTGGCTGCCTTGCTGTCTGGGAAGGAGACCACTGTGGGGGCTGGCTGAAGGCTGCGGGTAAGGATGCACCTTGGGGTTCTCTGGGTCCTGCTCTCCTGGGCTCCCTGGCTGTGGGGAGGGGCCTTCCCTGCTGACCCGGGAGCTCTGCCAGCACTACTGTGGGCAGGAAAGGTACCCTCACCGTCACTGTGTGGGGGACATCTGGGAGCCTGGGTATCAGGGAATCCCATGTTCCTCTAGAGCAGAGACCCACAGCCTCCTCCCAGGGAGAAGCACGGCCTTGGGAGGGCTTCTACATACCTTCCGCCAGGTGCAGGACCAGCAGCAGACCCCTCCGTTCCCCCAGCCAGGACCCCAGGTGCCGCAGAGAGGGCAGGGCAGTCTGCACGTCGCTGAGGTTGCAGACCCCAAAGGTGGCCAGGTCTTGGGGTTCCCAGTGGGACCTCCCAACAGCCTCCAAGAAAGCGTGTTCATAGCTGCTCAGGGTTCCCACCACCTGCAAGGGGCCTATGTTCCCACTGTTGGTCCTGCTCAGTGTCACCAGGCACAGGGGGTCCTGTGGGCCACCAGGTGGCCACGTCCAGTCTTCAGGGAAGATGAAGCCCCCCGCTGGCTCCTCTCCTCTGGAGATTTCAGCCCTCAATACAGTCCCCATGGCCACCACCAGGGCCAGCTGGCTGAGGAAAGGTGGGCCCTGCATAGCGAGTGCTGGAAGGGGCTGGGTGGCCTGGCTTATATGGGTGAGCATGGAATGTGTGGGGAGAGGAAGGCCTCTATCTGCTCCAGAGTGACCTTGGGGGACAGTGCCCAGCACCCCACACGGACAGAGCAGGGGCACATGGGAGACAGCTTTCTCAAAGAGCTATCTGTTCTGGGCCCAGCCACCTGTCTCTCTCTCACCAGATAGCCAGGCCCGTGACGGCCCTGGGGACCAAACTGTCCTTGAGGAAGGGTCCCTCCTAAAGACAAACAGCAGAGGGACCATGGGGGGGGGGGCACATGCTTGGAGTGCAGAACCCCACCCCCACCCTTGCAGCAGTGGGGTGGTCTCCAAGTCAGCTGGGGCTCCCCTGTGCCCTTCCAGTTACAGTGTGTCCAGCAGCACCCTGCACATGTCCCGGTGGAGGCCAGAACCCATGTGTGGCAGGATGGACCCCCCACAGCCCTCCCGCCCAGCAGTGCCCCATCAGTCAGTCCACTGCAGACAGGGGAAGCTGTTTAATGGGCTCTGGGAACAGTAAGTACAAAAGCTCGTGACGCCTTCCTGTGGGAAAGCAGGGAGAAAGGGGACACCAGATACACAAGGGGGCAGCTTTTCAGTTGGTTGGGGGCGGGGGAGGGATGTTCCCTGGGCCTTCCGAGGGGAGAGGGGGCCTCAACATCGGAGGCATAGGTGCTGGGGGGTGCACCCCAGGATTTGACGGGTGAACTCCAGGAGGCTGAGGGTGGACCCCAGGAGCTGCAGGATGAACCCCAGGAGGCTGGGGGTGGACCCCTGGTGCCTGGGGATGTATCCCAGGGGCTGGTGGGTGCACCCCCGGTGCCTGAGGATGAACGGCAGGAGCAGGTGGATGTACTCCTGGGGCCTGGGGGTGAACCCCAGCCGTTGGGGGAGGGTGCACACCTGGGGCTGGAGGATGCACACCTGGGGCTGGGGGGTGCACACCTGGGGCTGGGGGGTGGACCCCAGGGGCTGGGGGGTGGACCCCTGGAGCAGGGGGGTGGACCCCAGATGTTGGTGGGTGAACCACTGGTGCCGGGGGATGGACCCCAGGAGCTGGAGGGTGGACCCCAGGAGCAGGGGGGTGAACTCCAGATGTAGGGGGGTGGACCACTGGTGCCGGGGGATGGACCCCGGGAGCTGGTGGGGGCAGCTGGGGAGGCCCAGGGGGCCCCGAGGGTGCAGGCCCAGTGGGGGGCATGGGTGGCAGGGGCAGGCCTCCTGGTGGAGGCGGGGGCAAGGACTCTGGCAGTGGTGGCCGAGGAGGCAGACCATTCATCAATGGGGGTGGAGGCCGCTTCACCCCTGGAGGCCCTGCAGGGAGGCTGGGTGGGGCCGGAGGCTTCTCCATCTTAAAGTGGAACTGAAGGAAGAACTGGAGAGACACATGGGAGGTCCTCAGACCCTGTGGCCTTAGAGCTGGGGGGTGGACCACTGGTGTTCGAGGCCTTGGTGTGGGTCCCCCGCAGCACCCAGACCCAGGCCCCCATTCACTAACCTGCTTGGTCTCCCTGTTCCAGTGAGTCCAGAACTTGCCCTCAGCCTTGTCGATCTCTCGGCTAGGTACCTGGGGAGGATGGGAGGCCCCAGAGGGCTCCTAGTGTGAGGCACACTGGGCTCACCCCCATCCGTCCCTCACCAAAGCGGCAGCCTGCGTTGCCCGGACTCACAGCTTTTATTTGTTGCTGTTGTGTCAAGGCCCAGGACACAGCTACCATCACTCCCGTGACAGCCTAGACCCAGCAAAGCCGCAAAGTGGAGGCCTCACAGCTGAGGTACTCGGCCCACCCTGGGGACCCCAATTCTTCATGGAACAGCAGTAGTCACAAGAGGGAGACCCCCAACGGGCAGTGCCCGTGCTGGAGGCCCACCTCCAGAGTGCAGTGGCTAATGGTGACCCTCCCGCCCTGTCAGACCCTCGTGGGGGGAGGAGGAGACCCCAGAGGCCCGACTACCTTGAAGGCGATGGTCTCATAGGGCTCGGCAGCCATGAGCAGGTACTGCCAGCGCCGGTCCGGAGGCTCAATCCGCTGCTCGTAGGCAGACATGAAGCGGTGGCGAGGCATGATGCCCTCGGCGATCTCCGGGTAGTCGATCTGCGGAATGCAGCCAGCGGCGACGCTGCTCTCAGCCAGTGCCTCTGGGCCCCCCCCYCCCTCCCAGCCTGGGCCCCACCTCACCTGGAACAGGAGGCTCTGCTGGCCCATCTCTGTGTCCCTCTGCTTGGTCACTGCAATGATGGGGCTCTTAGGTCCAGGGTACTGGTCCTCCCTGAGGGTGGTCTAATACTGCCCAGCCACCAGGGGAATGGGTCTTGGGCAGGTGCCTGTCTGGCCAGGGTGGCTGGATAGGCTCTGCCACAGGGAGGGCTCAGGGGCACAAGGGAGCGTCACACCATGCTGTGCAGTGCTCCACCACAATTCCTGGGGGCCTTCACGGCAGGCCACCTCCCCAGACATCAGGACACCAGAGTAGAGCAGGGACTCTGGGGCCAGGAGGGCTCTCTGGGCCACCTCACTGGGATCCAAGTGGGGCCGACCTGAATCCCAGTCCTGCGCATGGGGTAAGCAAGAGAGGAAGCTGCTCTACTGGGATACGACAGTTTGTGCCCCAAGAAAGGCTGCTGGAGGTGGCAGCTAAATCCCAAAGCTGACCACAGCCCATCGCCGTTTCCTCACTACACATCCAGAGCCCTGGCTGTGGTCTGCGCCTGGGTTCTGCTATCCAGCCAGCCCTGGCTCCCCAGGCAGGCCGTCTCAGGCCTCTGCTCTGTGGACCTATCCGGAGGACCAGTTCACAGAACATCCCACCTCTTAAGAACTGCTCAACGGCCGATCCGCCTCCCTAACTCGCGGGAACACGCTTCTGTGTTCTTACTGTCACTCAGCCAGCTTTCCAACCCTTGTATCCCCTGGTCCTCGACAAGTTGCTCCTGAAAGTTTCCTCTCTTCCTTCCTCTTTAGGTTATGAGGAGCCTACATTCAAGTTCAAGTTGAAGCGAAAAGGCCACCTGGCCTCAATGCCCCTCTGCTGCTTTTCCTCCCCATGTGCCCCCATGATGCCCCAGGAACACAGAGAGGAGTCAGGACTGACCGTCTGGGGCACACACAAAGCTAGTGTGGCCAGCTGGGGAGTGGTCCCAGTTGGGACAGAAAAGGGAGCTGCTGGCGGGGGAAGGATGGGGATCAGTGCTGGTCAAGTCCTGGCAACAGAGGCCGAGGCCACGAGCCACGAGGGGACTGCTGTGAAAGGCCAGGGGACAGTAGCTGTGGCCCGGGGCTCTGGGGCCAAAGAGCTCGTTCACTCTGGGCAGCAGCTGTGGCCTGCTGGTCATTCCCACAGACACACCTTTGTAGCCTGGGCGGCCGATCTTCACAAACTTCTTCACCTCCACCTTGACCTTCTCTGGCGCTGGCTGGGCAGGGGCCTCCTTGGCCTCCTTGGCTGCTCTCCGGGCCCTGCAGGCAGGACAAACAAGCGCTGCAGCCCCTGCAAACACAGGCCACCAAGGCCACTGGCCCAGATGCCTTGAGCCCCTGCCCTGACCTTGGAGCTCCTCTACAAGGTGAGGGAGACAAGAGTGGGAGGAGTGGGAGAGGCCCTGGGGTCAGAATGTAGGGACAGGGACAACCGAGAAGGCCTCTCCCTCTTCTTGTCATGGTCAGCTGGGCCTGCTAGAGTCCTTCAGGGCATGCCACGCCTCTTGCTCTTCTCAGAGACCCAAATCCCCCTTTTTTCTTTTAGTTTTTATTTTGGTAGTTGTGTGTGGACAGCATGCCTTTATTTTACTGGTTTACATTTATGTGGTGCTAAAGATGCAACCAGTGGCTCACGAGTGCCAGGAGAGCGCTCTGCCACTGAGCCCCAGCCCCTCAAGGTAAAGGGCAGGCAGAGTGTGCACTGCAGCCAAGGACACAGCCTCTCCTGTCTCCCACCCATCGGATGAGGGGCTCCCCCTCCAACCTAGGTGCAGCCTGGCTGACTTCAGAGCCCTGAGCCGAGGCTCAGCACCAGCTGCAGGGGCAAAGGTACTCACAAGTTGGTCTGATGCTTCTTCCCCTGGGTATGCGCAAGGTAGCTGCCCTGCAGAAAGACAAAGGCCAAGTAAAGACCCAACAGTCTTCCCCAGGGCCTGTGTGGGGCACAGGGATAAACAAGGCCAGCCTGCCACTGAGATAAGGAACAGAGGGATCCAGGGGCAAGGCAGGCATCTGACCTGGTGAAGGCATGACCTCCACAGGTCCACACAGGTGCGGGGAAGGGAAGACACGCTACAGGAAGTGCACACGTGGGACACCCCAGACAAGCTCCCCAAGGGGCCTGTGGGGTCCTGCTGGCGTGTGCACATCTGCACCTGGCTGCAGTGTGGTCAGCAGTGCAACACCTGGCACCCTCTGACCCACCACCTCACATCCACCCCAGAGAATGATCCAGCCAGTGTCCACAGCACCGAGAAGAGGCCCTGATGTGCAGGACAGTTCATTTCCACAGAGTGCAGACACGCGAGAGATAGAGAGCCTCGTCACTGCCGAAGAGAGCGGAGCAGAGGACGCTCAGACCAGCTCAGAGCCTGCAACTGAGTCACCACAGCCACCTCCTGGCTGCCAGAACCATGGGAGAAAGGCCTGAACTGTGGGGACATCCTCAAACTACACAGGCTGGAAGCCCCCAGAGCACGCCACCCCTCTCCTTCTCAGAGACCCCTCTCTGGAGCCAGCCCATCAAACATCAGGCAGAGTACCCCGCACCCCCTGGCCTCGCAAGAAAGGGAGGCTAGGAGGGCTCCCAGCAGACGCATGGGCCGAGTGTGCAGGACACAGCTGGTGACAGAGGGAGTGTGACCTGCATCTTCAGCGATAGGCGTCTTTCACAGAAAGACACACTTTGGAACAAATGTCCAGTGAGTGGGCTGGCAGCTGTCTAGTGGGGTCCTAGGTGATGCCCCTTTCTCCTCTCAGAGTTCACAATAAAGAGAGATGAGTCGGAGCAAGCACGGAGCTGGGGTGGGCATCGGGCTGGGCTCTGCAGCATGGCAGAGGCTGGCCAAGAGAAGCGGAGGCAGTCAGTGCCAGGGAGCGCTTAGGGACCGCTGCTGGTGGCAAGCCAGACCCACAGTAGGGCCCAGAGAACATACCTCATTGTTGTGCAGTGTCAGGCAGAGTTTGCATTCATACGATCCCAGGTGATTTTTCATAAAATATGGATCCTGAGGAGAAAACAGATCCTGTCAGGCAGAGGAAGCCCACTGTCTACGGGCCTGCTGGGTCCACCCTCTCAGGCCAGCAAAAGCCTTAAGCACCATCTGCCTGATGGTGCTGGGACACTCCAGAGTCCTGGGTTTGTGACTGGGGGCATGGGACATCCAGACAGCACCTCCTCCGTGACCAAAGAACCCTGCAGCACATGCTCTTTCTAGCCACCCTACAAAACCAGACTTCTGCCGGGATCAGGGGCCGTACCTGTAACCCCAGCAACCCAGGAGGCTGGGAATTCAAAGCCAGGCCCAGCAACTTAGTAAAGGCCTGAGCAACTCAGGGAGACCCTGTCTCTGAATACAATACCAGAAAGGGCGGGGTGTGCCTCAGCGCCCCTGGGTTCAATCCCTAGTACCCAGAATAAAAAAACAAGAAACCCACTTGTGCACAGGGTGCCAAGGACCTCCCTGTGGCCTACCTTGTTAATGTCAATGGTCTCTAGAGCCAGCTGCCGGAGGCGCTCCCTGCGGTCCCGGTTGCTCTCAGAGGAGGAGGCCACACCCCCACTCCCCGTCTTCCCCCCAGGTCGATGCTGGAAATCCATGGTGAAGGCCTCGAGGCTTTACGGAACCAGGGAGAAACCTGCGGACAGCGGAGAGTGTGTGTGATGGACAGGCCGCCTGCCAAAGCTGTGGCCAGGCACCCTGGGACAGGCAAGTAACAGGGGGATTCTAGAGGCATCTCCAGAGACTCTAGCTCAGGGGCCTGTCGAGTGGGGGTCCTAGGTGATGCCCTAGACAACAGGATGTGTGCAGGGCAATCTGGGTTGATTAAGGAGCGTGTCTCACAGTGCACTGGACTGTGATGGAACTAGATGGCTGCAGGGAAACATGGTCTGTTCTTGGCCTAGAAGATCATTGTGGCGCCTCTCAGTGCCTCTGGAGGGCAAGGTCACTCCTGGTACAGTCCTCAGCCTCTCCAGGAAGCTGTCCTGACTCACCAAAGCCTGGCTCACTCCCTCCTCTAGCTTTGGCTCTGTCCGGCTACATTTGTTCCTCACAACCTAATTTCTACTTCTCTAGCACTTAGGATTTGCTGGAGGCAAGGAAGACAGCTATCTTTGGATCCCCTCTGCCTAATTTGCAATATTCAAGAGCTAATTGCAGCGATTTGAATCCTAAACACCCTGTTCAAAATCCTATAGGCCACCCGGGTTCCCATATTCTATCAAGTTCACTCAAAACCCAAACTCCAGGCAGTTTTTTCTGGTCACCCAACATTCTGTCTAGACTGTTCAATGACTGCCACAAACCCCTCAATTAGGGTCGAGCTCAGAGATAAGGCCCAGAGACCCAGTGGATGACAGCTCTTAAAGACATCTTCATCCTCATCCCCAGAAACCGTGCCTTTGTGATCACGTATGACAAAAGGGAGTCTGCAAGTAGAAGTGAAGGGCTGTGAGATGGGGTATCATCCTGCACTATCTGGGACCCAGTGTCAACAGAGTCCTCAGAGAGGAGGCAGGAAGGCCTGAGTCACAGAGATACTGGCAGACAGTGTGCTGCTGGCTCCGGAGCTGAAGGAAGGGGCCAAGAGCCCAGGGCCGTGGATCTCCAGGAGCTGGAGGAGGAGGGACGTGGACTCTTCCTGGAGCCTCAGAAGAGTCCAGCCCTATAAACCGACTTTATGCCCGAACTGCTGGGCAGGGCACTGAGTCAACAAAGCCACTTCCAGACAATCAAGGTCTCAAAAGAAAACTAAAAATCATTTGCTTTTTTAGAAACTAACAGGCCGTGGGTTCTGAGAGAACAAAGAGTCGGCCAACCTAATAGCTAGGGCAGGGAACCAAATTCCACAACAGCAGACTGGACGTGGATGCAGCTGGAGGGCTGTGTCCAAAGCAGCGCAGGAATCCGGGGAGTCGATTTGTTTAAACACATGGAAAGTACAACCAACGTGCCTAAGGGATCTTGGGGGTTTAAAGAGAAACCAGTGGTGCAAGAAGACCCGTTCCTCCTGGAATTCAGCCTCGGACGGCAGAGTCAACCTCAGGAAAACAGCGTGCAGGGGAGACAGCCAGGGCGCCTCCGCGAGGCCGGCCTCACAATTAAAAAGACAAAAGAACCTGGGTGCAGCTCAGTGGCAGCCCGGAACAAAGACCGACGACCCGACGGGGCGGGAGGCCGCTAAGGAAGCCGGACGCCTAACGACGACACCTCGGGGGAGGGAAGTGTTCCGTGCCACAGACGAGACCAGGGGCGGCGGCCGCCAGACTCGAGGAGGTGGCCGCTGGGTCCTGGGCCGGGCGCCCGGCTCTGCGCGGAGTGGCCGCCTCCTTCGGCCCAGGTCCCGCCGGGCGCGCCTGCACGGGGCCAGCTAACGCTCCGAGGCCGCCCGCGCCAGAGGCATGCGCGCTCCCGGGCTGCGAGGCCGGCGAGACCCCGGGCGGCAACCCACGCGGGCGCTCGGGGACCGAGGCCCTCCGCCACCCAGGCCGCCCGCCCCCAACGGGCCTCCCGAGAGGGCGTGCCGCGCCGCGCGCCGGGCTCCCACTCCACCCCGCTCCAGCGAGCTCCGGGGCCCGGCCACCGCCCGCAGCCCGCGCCGCTCCTCACCGGGGCCCCAGGCCACGCTCCGAGGCCTTCCCGGCGACCGCCAAGACTTCTCCGTGCGCACGCGCCACGCGTAGGACGGAGCCACTTCCGGGACCAACGGAGCTGAGCTTCCTTTGGCGCACGCCCTGTCCGCCGCGCGGCCCGGATGGACGACCGGGAGGCGCGAGGGCAAGAGGGCGGATCTAAATGGAGGCTGGACGGGGAAGGGCGCGTGCGTACAACGTCCGCAACGAACTCTCGGTCCTCGTTCGAGCGGTACTGGGTGTCGAGAGTGGACGCACTGAGACGCGGCTGGAAACGCTATCGTGCCCTCCACCTGCGCATGTACACCTCGGGAAGGGGCACCGCCGGTCACAGGGGTTGCCGTGAACCAGTTTCCGCCCGGGCTCAGTGTTTTTCATGACTTTATAAAAGCAGTTGATCTCCCCCACGGCCCCCGCACGCCAGCGCCACGTAGCGGATGCGGGAAGGAGAGGCCGTTCGGGGCGGGCAGGCGCACTAGCTCTGTCGGTACTTCCGGGACAGCTCCCTGAGACTTTTGTGGCGCCGGTGCCGCGGCCACCGGGGACGGCGGCCGGTAGGAGAGGCGCGCGCTCCGCACTCTGGCTCCCGTATCCCTGCGGTGCCTGCCATGCGCTACAACGAGAAGGAACTGCGGGCTCTGTCCCAGCAGCCGGCGGAGCTGGCAGCGGAGCTGGGCATGCGGGGGCCCAAGAAAGGCAGCGGTGAGTGGGCCGGGCCCGGGTCTGGCCGGGGGGTTCCCGGCGGCGCTGAGCCGCGCTGAGCCCGCACTGAGCCYGCGCTGTGCCCGCAGTGGCCAAGCGGCGGCTGGTGAAGCTGGTGGTCAACTTCCTCTTCTACTTCCGGACGGACGAGGACGAGGTAGGGGCGCGGGCGCCGAGGGGGGGCCCGCGCGGGCGGCCGGCGCTCACGCCCGTGTCTCGCGCAGCCCCTCGGAGCCCTGCTGCTGGAGCGCTGCAGAGTTGCGCAGGAAGAGCCCGGCGGCTTCTCCATCAGTGAGTGCCCCGCGTCGCGGGTCCCAGCCCCTGGCCGCTGGGCGGACACGGTGTGTGCCCGTTGAGGCATCCCTGGTTCCTGGCTCTGAGGAGCTTCGCCCCGTTGCGTCTGCTCTCAAAGAGCAGCACTCGCCGCATTTAGGGTCCTCTTTGATGACTTCCATCAGCAAAGGCTCACTCCAGACAGGGTCACCTCTGGGCTAAGGACGAAGGAATCTGGGGCGGTGTTCACTTCAGCTCGTGGCAGGTGGAGGGGCCGGAGGAGTTCTAGGCCTGGGCAAGGGGAAGCTGGGGCTGTGGCCGGCAGGGTGTGGAGACTGACAGGTGGCCCCCCCCTGTCCACCCACAGGCTTCGTGGAGGACCCAGAGAGGAAGTACCACTTTGAGTGCTGCAGCCAGGAGCAGTGTGAACAGTGGACAGAAGCACTGCGTCRGGCCAGGTGAGCTCCGGGGCAACAGGGAGGCACCGCTCAGCAGCCACAGAGGATGGGATGAGGCTCTGACTTTGCCAGTCCTGCCCTCTTTCAGCTACGAGTACATGCGGAGAAGCCTCATCTTCTACAGGAACGAGATACRGAAGATGACGGGCAAGGTGTGTGTGGGGCTGGAGGTGGCGGGGCAGTTCTCACGGCCCAGCTTCATGGCCACCCTTCCATCCCACAGGACCCCCTGGAGCAGTTCGGCATATCTGAGGAGACCAGGTTTCAGCTGAGCAGCTCGCTGAGAGAGGGGCAGTCAGCTGGTGTCAGCTCCCAGCTGGATGAGCTGGACTGACCCTGGGCTGGGCCGTCTGCCCAGGGTTTCTGGCCATGACTGAGTCTGCAGTGGGAGGTGCTTTGGCCTAAGGATGGGTGGGATGGACAGGGATTGAGAAACTGCTCAGCTGGCCCTTCCCTCCCATCTTGGGGGTCCCCCAGATCGGTCCAGCACTTGGCACCTAAGTGCCACATGCCCCTGCCTGGTCTCTCCGGTGCATCCATTGAGGGCCAAGGGGGCACCCGACTGGCACACTCTACTGTCTCATGCCAGCTGAATGTATGTCCGAGGCTCGGTGAAGCTGTGAATGTGAGGTCCCCCTCACCAGCTGTGAACTTGATTCCTGCTGATGGCGCAGGCCCTGGCGCTGGTCTCCAGGTCGCCAAGCTTGCTCTGTCCAATAAAGGTACCTCTTTTCCAGACTAGGTGGTGGTGAAGTCAATGGAAAGAGGAAGGGGAGCCCCCTCCTGAGAAAGTGAGGGACGAAGGGTCCTTTCTTTTTTTTCTTTCTTAGAGAGAGAGAGAGAGAGAGAATTTTAATATCTATTTTTAGTTTTGGGCGGACACAACATCTTTGTTGGTATGTGGTGCTGAGGATCGAACCCGGGCGGCACGCATGCCAGGCGAGCGCGCTACCGCTTGAGCCACATCCCCAGCCCGACGAGGGGTTCTTTCAAAGTTCAGATCTAGAGTTGGGAATGGTGGCAGAGGCCCCTRCCCATGGAGGAATGGGGTCACAGCAATCCTGGATGACCCTGTGGCTGCACCCAGGGTGCTGGCAGACYTCAGCTTGGGTGTGACCAGAAAAGAGCATTTTTCCACCAAGGCTGGGTCGCAGGTCAGTTCATGCCTGAGGTTGTGGGTTCAAGGCCCAGTACTGAAGGGTGGGGCTTGGCCTCCCCGGGGCAGGGTCCCCTCTGCCACTGTCAGCTCCCACGGCTGCTGCTACCCTCACCCGTGGGTGGAGGGTTCCCCACCAGAGGGACAACACGCATCACTGTCACGTCACCAGGAAGAAAGGATGGCATTCAGACCAGGTCCAGGTGAAAACTGTTTTATTACAGCGCCCAGAGGTGGAACAATGCAGCGGGCGCCAGGGTTGGAGCTGGCCATGCGCCCAGCGAGTACAGAGTACACTACAGAGTTGAAACGAGGCTGTGCTGCGTTACAAACAAGCTGGGCAAGGGAAGGCTATGTGGATGGACATTACACCAGGACGAGGAGGGGGGTCCAACAGGGTGACGAGTCCCAGGTTCCTAGGTTAGTGTAGATGCTGACCAGCAGGCAGCCTACAGGGCCCAGTCCTTACGGCTTCCTGACAATTCCTGAGCGGGAGCCAGTTGGCGCTCCAGGGCTTCCCTGCAGTCACCCTCAGCACCCAGCAGCACCCAGCAGCACCCACCCCCCCTCCCAAGGTAATGGAGACGGGTGTCAGCCTCAGACTCCCGCACAGCTCTGTCAGCGCTGCCCCACACCAGCATCCCTGGGTGCCAGCACGTGGGCAGTGGGTCAGTCTGGGTGGTATCTGAGGGTAGCAGGGGCCTGGGGTGCTGAGAACAGGAGGCTACTGGCCCCATGGTCAGCTGGGGCTTGGGTTACAGGCCCATCCCCTGGTGGGCTCAAGGGGGAACTTGCTGGGACACCTGAGACCCAGTAGGGCTCAGTGTCAGGCACATGCCCAACATGTGGTGGTATCTCCCGACACTCAAGCGTAGGTGCAGATTAGTTATAGGAAGGTGTGTGGGCAGGAGGCCACGTTGGCATGGCCTGCCCCACACACAAGCCTCCACTACCCGGGGAGGTGGGCGGAAGCATACAGTGTTTAAAGAATGGGTTTGTATCAGACCAGGGACTTGCTGTGTGTGGACTTCACTTCTACCACCCTGTGGCACCTGGGGAAGCTGTGTGGTAAGAAGTGACCCTCAGTCCCCCACACCAAGCAGGGCACTGCCGTGCTAAGGGCTGAGCTGGAGCCCCTGGGAATGAGGCACAGCACCTGCAGGCCTGGCCGAGAGCACCAACAGGAGGGGTGGGTCACCAGCACCATCTGCAGAACTCACTGCAGGGGGAGGGGCACCAGGTCTGGGACAGGCTTCAAGAGCCGCCAGGGGTCTGCTGAGGCTTCAGAGAGGCAAGGACACCCTGGAGGCCCAGCAGCCCTGGCCCGTCTGTGGCTACACCACGCATCCGTTCTCAGCACCAACGAGGCTGCCGGAGGAGCCGGCATCCCCTCCAGACCTGCAGGCCCAGAGTACCCCGACAGCACAGGCACCCTGTGGTCTGTGTCAGGGGCGAGCCTTCCTGAGGGCAGGGTGGGCCAGGCCCCTCTGAGGCGMGCTCTGTGAGGTCTGCAGTGAGGGCCGGCCCTGGAGCCCATGCCAGTTTTGTGCATTTGAATAAATATAAAGGTTTCTTTCTCCCTTGCTTTCTCTTCTGTTAAAGTTCACTGTGCATTATACAATCTAAAAATAAATGCAGTCAAGTCTATGAAATTTATAAATTCTCATCACATCTCTATAAAATACTGTCACTCTTCAGTGTGACTCTCTCAGATACACAAATACAAGGGGACCCACCATGGGCCTGCCCCAGGTCACCAAGCAGGGTGCCACAAACCAAAGAAAAACACGGAAGTGACTGCACTGGGCACAACACCGGCGCAGAGCCTTCGGGAGCACCAGTCAGAACCACGCCTGCCACAGAGCTGTGCCCACTGCCCAGGATGCCAAAGGCTGGACCCTAAGCCGAAAGGTTGACAGTTGGGGGTGTTCACAGTGAGGGGGCAGGAGGCGGTGGGGGCAGAAGGCTCAAGGGGCTCCAGAGGAAGGCAGGGCTGCAAGGTCAGTGCTGGCCACCAGGAAGAGGGCCTCCTCTGAGGGCCCTGACCACGATCGGGCAAGCCTTTGGTACAGGATCAAGTGACGGGCGCTGGGGAGGACGTTTCTGAGGACTGGTTTTGGCGTTGGTCAGTGTCCAGGGCAGCACCGAGAGGTGGAGGCAGGCACGGGCCTGGTGTCGCGATAGCACCGGGCGGGCTGGCGGCGTCTCCGGGGGCGGGCAGCCCTGCAGGTCCGTGTATCTAGATATAGACTCTCTTACATAGACATTTATACTTCTCAATAGGTTGCCTTTGACGACTTAGATGGAATAAAATAAGTCAGAATTGTTTATACTTTTTAAAAAACGATAAATACTTTATCTAAAACTATCGACAGTACAAACTGGACTGTGGCAGCACCTCCTGCGCGTGCCGCCGATTCACAGTGGAGCTCCTTGTCCCTGTCCTGTCCCCGCCGTCCAGGTGGGGGCCCAGTAGGCCAGCGAGCACTGAGCAGCAGGCGCGTTGGTCCACACCATCCTTGCATAGTCGCGCGGTTGAGGTAGAAGTCCTAGTTACCTGCAGGGGGCACAGAGTGGGGAGAGCAGCCTCGTTAGCAGCCTGCTGGGCGGAGCCTGGCACTCACCAGGCCAGCCCGAAGGCCTCCAGAGAACACACCCCACGCCGCCAGGGCCGCCCTGCAGGACACCTCTGCAGACAGGTATTCCCTGTGGGCAAACAGGGGGCCTGACACCCAGACGCTGCTGCGGCCAACCCCAGCCTTCTTCAGCTCAGCCGTCCTGAGGACACGGGCTCAGGTTGACCGCAGCCACCCTACTGCTGGCACTTCTCAGGAGGGGCCAGACATAGCCTGTCTCCAGCCCCTGAGTGAGCAGCACTCTGACCAGCCCAGTGGTCAGCATCCTGTCTGTCTCTACTTCCCACGTGCTGGGGGCAGGTCAGAGCCACCATCAACTCCTCACCCAGTGAGCACACCTTTGCTCCACAGGATGCCAGGCCAGGCCGGGCACCCTGAGGTCTTGCAACTGGCCGAGGGGTGGAGTGGACATGCACCACTCTGTCCCCAGGGGGAGGCAAGGCCCCCTGGCTGTGGGTCATGGCTGCAGCACTGCTGTGGCCACACCTGTGGCCTGGGCTGGGCCTCGGTTCCCAGTGTGCCCTGACAGCCCCACCTGGCGGCCCGCGGACGCCCGGAGCTACGGCTGGAATTCCAGCAGGAGCCTCAGTCTAGAATTGCAAGGCCAAACCCATTTGGGGACCTGTGGCACACCAGGGACTACATGCCTTGGGTTTTCTTAATTCCTGTGAGGTGTGAACAAGGACTCAGACCAGGGTCATCATCACATGCCCTGGCTCCCTGGCAACTCCGCCAGCCAGTCTGTCACAGTCTTGGCGGGGCTACCCTTCCACTTCTCAGCCCTGCAGGGTCACCTGGGCTTGGCAAGAAGAGCCCCAACCCCTACACCTGGCCCTGGTCCTGCACACTGTGCCTGAACCCTGTGGCAGCTGGCATGGTCCACCTCTGCCCCCGTGGCTGTTCTCTGATCTGCTGACTGGCCACGGCTGGGGGGCCACATGGAGAGCCCGTGTCCCTCAGGACCCAGCAGCTGAGCCCTGCCAAGCTCCTCGGCAGCTCCTGCGCTCACAGATGTGGCCCTCGCGCCTGGAGCTCTCCCACGGCACGGCACCTCCCCCGGGGCCCTCTGTGGCGCCCTGTGGGCCGTCTTCTGTGCCACGGGAGGGAGGGCTGGGTTCTCGAGATCACCGCCTGCGTGGCTCTAGCCTTACCTTACAGAATAGGAACTGCTAGCTAAGCAAGTCTTTATCGAGGCTTAACCCCCGAAAGGTGTGCGGCATACGGAGGCGGCATGCCAAGGGAAACCCACACAGCGGACGGCCCTGTGGAGCTGGCCTGCGGGATGGCGGGCGTGGCCTGCGCCAGGGCCAGCCGGGGCAGGGGCTGGTGGTGCACCGTGAAGGAGGGGCGGGAGACCTTGTGCGGGAGGGAGGCGAGCTTGACAGACAGAGAGGCGTTAGCAGGCTGCAGAGAGGTGGCCGAGGAGGAGGGTAAGAAAGCTTTGTTAGCCGGGATAGACGCTAGGTTCTGCAGAAGCATGGGCTCAGGGTTAGAGGCCAGCAGCGCGGCAGGAGGAGGCAAGGCGACGTTAGGAGGGGGGGCATGGAGGACAGGCGGCCCCGCAGGGGGCCGGCCCAGGTGCTGAGGAGGAAGCGGGGCAGGCGGAGGCGGAGGGGGCGGCCGAGTCTCGACCGAGGCCGGGGCCTGAAAGGAAGAGGCCGAGGTGCTGGCCGCCGCCTGCAGCGGGCTCAGGCCCAGCGTGGCGCTGCTACACACAGCCCCGCTGCCGACACTGGCTCCAAACGGATGAGCAGAGGCAGAAGGCACCGTGTGGTTAAAGACACCTGCAAACAGGAGAGAAAAGAGCTTCAACAGGCGGGCACGGCCCAGCCAAGCAAGAGGTGCACAGCCGCAGGGGAAGCCGGGCAGCTGCGGCTCTGGGTCACAGGCAGCACTGGCGGCAAGCAGCAGGGCGCAGCGCAGGGCACTTACCTGCAGCCAGCCGAGGCCCGCCCCTCGGGCCGGCCTGCCCGCCCGCACCCAGCCGGGAGCTCCAACGCGCTACGCCTGGCCCGGGCTGCACTCCACCCGGGGTCTGCGTAGGCGTGGTCGGTCTCCCTGTTGCCCAAGGCCAGCTCCCCCGGCCTTGCTGCAGTGGTCACCCTTAACCTGGTGGCCTCCCTGGCAGAAAGGACTGCCCTAGTTATGTGAACCGTCTCTTCTGAAAACAAGAGGGACGTGTTACAACAAGAACCTGATGCAAGCTCAACCGGCCAGAGTCCTCCACCTCACGACAATCACCTGGGTCTCAAGAAAAGGACACCCCGGAGCCTGCCAAAGTGCAGGGGCTGCATGGCCCAGCATGGCCCTCTAGGGGGCTCTGAAAGGACCAGCACAGCAGCCGAGAGGACCTGAGCGCTCCTGGGGGAGGCGCCCCGGGGTGACCAGAGCCCTGCCCTAGGGAAGCTGGACTCAGGAAGGCCCGCCTCCGCCTACCTCCAACGGTTCCGCCAGCCACCCCAGAAGAGAAGCTGCCCATGGTGTGGGAGTTGGTCAGTCTAGTTGCGGCGGACGACACATGTACCAGGCCCGCGGCGGCCGGCACGGAGCTGAATAAGGATTGTAGCACAGATGAGCCAGCCACAGAACCGAGGTTGGCCTGTAGGGACATGGGGCCCAGGGTGAACTGGGGCCCAGGGGCGAAGGTGCCCAAGAAGGGGCGGTGTGCCTGGGTGGCGGGAGCTGCACTGCCGGCAGAGGACACTGCGGTGGCGAGGCCAGGGCCTCCCAGGAGGCCCCCAGGAGGCACCGTCGCGGCGGAGATGAAGAGATTGTGGCCGTTCTTGAAGTCCAGCTCGCGGTCCCGGCCTTTGCTGGGCCTGCTGCCGTGTGGCAGGGCAGCCTTGTCCGTGGGCCCGCAAGGGGGCAGGCCAGGCTCAGTGGGCTCCTTGCCAGGGCCACCCTCACCCTTCAGGCCACCCAGGCCCTCCAGCTGCCTCTTGTTCAGGAAGGGGTTGGCCTCAGAGGGGCCCTCCTTGCCCCGCTGGGAGGGGAAGCTCAGTGGGGCACTCAGACCGGCCACTTCAGGGCCCTTGTGGGAAAGGGAAGCACCGTCGTTGAAGCCATGTAAACTGAGGTCCGCGGCAAGGCCCCCGCTGAAGGCCAGGCCGTTGGGAGGGTTGGCGCCTGGGCTGAGCCCATCTGCCCCTGACAGCGAGCCAGAAAAGCCTTTCCTTGGGTGGGTAGCCAGCTTGGCCTCGGCCGCGACAGGCTCCTCTGGGGCTGGCCGAAAGGCGAACAAGGAGCTCTGGCCCAGCGCGGAGCTCGCCTGCAGGGGGCTGTCTGCAGACTTGGCCAGGCCAATGTCGGAGATGGGTGAGAAGGTGGATTTCCACTTGCTGCTGTTGACGGGCTCGCTCGCAGGGGCTGGCTTCCGTCCCAAGCCACCACCTGCTGAAGAGCGGCAGAGGTGTGAGCCACTGAGACACTGACGTGGGACCTGGCACCCCTTTCAGGGAGGCTGCAGGGCCAGGYACTCCACGGGTCTACAGGACAGAGGCAGGACAGAGGCAGGAGGGACAGGTGAGGGGAGTGACGAGTGGCAAGAGGAAGCCCTGGAGAGCCAGACCACGGGGCCTCAGAACAGAGCCCTGCACTGTGTCCTGGGCACTCGGGTCCAATCACCCCAAAGGGAGGGGAGGGCTGTGCAGGTGGAAGGAATGGAGGTCGCAGCCCACGACTGGGGCTCTTGGGGGTGGGGGGCAGGCTGGCCAAGAAACTAGCTGGTCTGACTTAGACTGGCAATGAGGTGAGTGTCCCCAAGGGCACAAGGCAGGCCCACAAGACGTATGCAGCCCAGGGTGGCCCCCAAGCAGGGGTCTACAGGGGAGCAGCTGGATGCAGGGTGACCCTGAGTGGTAAGGCCACATGCCTGGGAGGGACGGGCCCTGACACAACAACAACGAGCCTGAGCCTCAGGCTGGGAACAAGCAGCAGGAAGCATTTCCACTCACCGTTTTCCAAGGTTTTGGGGGGAGATTTACTTTCTAAGGAGATTGTTGCAATTTTTCTCTCAATTCTGTTAAGGGAAAAAAACAGCATTAACATGTGACATCTGAGGGTGTGTACAGGACTGCTAACACCAAACCGCTCGGGGAGGTTGGAAAGTGACGGACACAAAGCCTGTTCCCAGGCCCTGCACGGGGGACCCTCAAACACAGCTGGGGCCAGGTCCAGCAGGAAGTAGGGCCTAACACCCCCACAACACACACAGGGCCTCAGACCCTGCGCGTCCCAACTCAGAGGAAGCACAGGGCTCGAGGGGCCTGGCACTGCACTGCCACTGTCACCACTTCAGCAGCACCCAACTCGGAAGATCCTGAAACCACTTGAAACCATTTGGGCAGCTGCTCCCAATACCCGTGGGGAAGGCCCAGGGGCAAAGCCTTTACCACGGGAGGAGCAGAATCCAAGGGATGCAGATCTATCGCACCACAGCACCAGGGGGCGGCATCGCCTCTGAGAAGGACACCACCAGGCTGTGCACACACCAGTCACCAGAGGAGGAGGTGTGGCCAGCACACACGGCCACGGGGTAGCTGCCTGTGTGAAGGATGCTCACACCACACAAGGCAACGGGGTGGGTAGGGCGGACAACCAGACACAGGTCCAAAGGCACACATGGAGCCACGAACGTGAGCGGAAGGCCCAGATCAGAGAATGGCAAGTTCAAGGCCGGCACGTTCAAAACCAGCCTGGGCGGGGGAGGAGCAACCTGGGTCCATGGCCTAGTACCCAGGAAAGTCAAAGCGAAAAAACAGGCTGGGTGCTGAGGCCTGTGATCCCAGGGCTGGGGAGGCTGAGGCAGGTGGACTGCAAGCTGGAGACCAGCCTCAGCATCTTGGCAAGCTCCTAACCCACTTAGAGAGACCCTGTCTCAAAATAAAGCAACTGGGGATGTGGTTCAGGGTTAAGGACCCCTGGGCTCAATTCAATTACTGGCGCCAAAATAAATACATAAGATTAAAAACAGCATCACCATAGAAGTAAACTGAAAACCTATTTACAAACAAAAARCCATGCTCACGGCAAGATTCACAACATCCAAAGGTGGTGACAGCCCAAGTATCCACTGATCAATAAATAGATGCACTCAACTGTCACACCCACCCAAAGTGTCCAGTGCCCATGGCCGCGAGCAGGAGTGAAGCGGAAGCTGCAGTGTGGATGGACCCGAGGACCTGGCGCTCAGTGGGAATCAGACACACAAGGCCACCGTGTGTGTGACCCCGTGACAGGAGACGACCAGGACAGGAGTCTAGAGATGGCACGTGGATCTGTGGGTGCAGGGCTGGGGAGGGCTGGGGACCTGCTCAAAGCAATGTGCTTCCTTCTGGGGCGATGRAATGTTCTGTACCCAGAGGGAGAGGCTGGCAGAGCCCTGCGAGTGAACTCAAGACCCCCGAGCTGCAGCTCCTAAGTGGGAGGACCGTGTGAGAACCACACCTCACGACACTGCCGCGCAGAAGGAGACACACCTCCACACAGCTGGCCGGGCGGGCGACAGGCACTGAAGGTGCTCAGACTCCAATTTTGTTTTGAAATATTTTTTTAGTACTTCATTTTTATTTCTTTATATGCGGTGCTAAGAATCAAGCCCAGTGCCTCACACATGCAAGGCAAGCCTTCTACCACTGAGCCACAGCCCAGCCCTAGCCCCTGAAACTTCATTTTTTTAATTTAAAAAAGTTTTTTGTTTTTTTTCGTTTGGATAGTCACAATACCTTTATTTTGTTATTTACTTAGTTTTACAAGGTGCTGAGGATGGGACCCAGTGCTTCACGCGTGCTAGGAAAGCACTCCCCAGCCCCCCACCTGTTTTTTAGTAGTAGTTGGACACAGGCCTTTTATTTGTATTTACTTATTTTTACGTGGTGCTGACATGGAACCCAGGGCCTCACTTGCACTCTACCACTCAGCCACAGCCCAGTGGCCCTTCTTTTTATTATYGATTATTTGTTTGTTGTTTGTGGTGCTGGGGATTGAACCCAGGGCCTAGTGCCTGGGAGGCGAGCACTCTGCCAACTGAAACCCAGCCCCTTCATTTCAAAATTTTGAGACAGGGTCTCACTAAGGTGCTTAAGGAAGCTGGCCTCCAATTCACAGGGCTCCTTCCTCAGCCTCCCGAGTCCCTGGGAAGACAGTGTGCGCAGCCCGTGGGCAAGATGGGCCGACCCTGAGGGAGGTGGCCGGGCAGCCTTCCCCCAGGGGTCTGTCTGCTCGAGAGCCTCGCCCTCTGAAGCCAGGGCTGTCCCAGGTCAGGAGGCCCCTCACACCTGGGCAGGTGCGCCCCTCCCTGCCTCTGCAGAGTCCTGTCCCCCACTCACCGGGTGCTGCTGGGCTCGTCCTCAGAACCTGGCTCCTCATCAGAGGTCAGTGGGGAGTAGTGGGCCCCGTTGGTCTGGCTCAGGGGCCGCTCCTTCTTGAGCACGGGCGGCTGGTCGTGGTCCTGGTAGGGGATGGGGGAGCTCTTCAGCGAGTTCTCAGGGGATGAGATGGCCGTGATCTCTAAGGGCTGGTTGATGTTACTGACCTGAGGACCAAAGAGAGGCAGATGCACAGACACGCAAAAACATGGACACGAAGATCCCAAAGCAGAATACCTCAGGGCTTCACAAGGTTCCTGACCGAACCAGGGTTCTGGGGACACTGGGGGCATGTCCCGTACCTCCTCAGGCATCTGAAGACCTGCCCGGCTACAGTTACTGTCCAGGCACCTCCCCACCTTGTACCGTGTCCTGCTTTTGCAAAACTCTGGATCCCAGAGAAGCATACTAGTCTGCCCCCCTCACACCGCACCCAGCCTCTCGAGGACCAGCCAGAGGGGACAGGCCAAGCTTTATTGAAGCCCTAGGGTCTGCCCCTCGGTCTCTGCCTCCTGGACACCCACCGTCCCTCCAGGGATCTTGGGGGCAGATGTTGCAGTGCGGCTGCCCTGGTCCTTACCATGGAGCTGAGGTTGAGGGGGGACCCTGAGGACTGTGTGAAGAGGCCAGCAACAGACGGCAGGGCCCGGCGCTTGGGGGACACGCCTGTGCTCAGGCTTGGGGTCCCAGCTGACGTGCGCTTCCTCCGGCCACGCTTGCGGCTGTCCTGCCCATGGCTCTGCCCACAGTCTCCGCGGGCTCCTGGGGCCAGGGGGCTGTGCTTGGTGGAAGGCGACTGCTTGGTGCTGCCCCCACCAGCTGAGATGGTAAACACGATCCTCCTCTTGGCTTCACTCTCCGGGTCTGAGAAGCCCGAGTCAGAGGGCAAGTCTCCCTTGCCGACGTCAGGAGGTGGGCACTGGGTGGCACCAGCCAGCCGAGGGCTGGCAGAGAGCGGGTGGGCAGGAGAGGCGGGGCCCGGGTGTCGGGGCGGCATCAGCAGAGGGTGCTGCGGCGTGGTGCTGCGGGACCCCACAGTGGTGAAGAGGCTCCCGGAGCTAGAGGGCTCATCCAGGGCCACAGGCTCAGCTCCAGAGGCGAGTGGAGCAGGGCTGCCCACCAGGGCCCCGCTGATGGCCATGGAGCCAGAGTAGAATCCTGCCAAGGAAAGCATGGGTTTCTCAGGAGGCCTGCCCCAGAGAACCCAGTGYGCCCCGATCCTGGCCAAAAAGGAAGGGGGAGAGCCCAGAAAGTGGGGTTGGTCCTGGGAGCCACAGTGGCCTCCAGCTGGGATCTAGTGACTCCAGAAGCTCTCTCTCCTGAGGGGGAGAGCTGAGTGGTCCAGGGTCTCAGAGAAGAGGATGTCAGAGGACCGGCCCCGGCCGTGCCCCGCCACCTCCCAGCCCCACCCATGTGGGGTGGGACTTGCTGGCACCACACACCACCCACAGCCCTAACTGCACAGCAGCAGCTGTTGGCCAGCAGGGCGGACATTCCCAAACCAGCTTGGCCTTGGTGTGTTTCCTCTCCCTCCCGCCTGTCTGAGCAGTTGTGGCCTCAGGCCTCCACTGAGACACCTCCGCAGGCCCTTGCCACAGCGGGCCCAGCTGGTGAGATGTTGCCCTGAAAGCAAGACTGCTCTGTTGCCCTCAGCCACAAACACGGTACGGGAACAGCCTGTGCGCCAGCCCATTCGCTCCTGGTCAGAGGCAACTCTGGGCTCAGAGCCTCAGGCCACTTCTGGACCATGACATACTTCTGGGACCTCCCAGGGACAGTAGGGCCATGTCTCTGGTTCTGCCAGGGAGTCAGGACAGGAAGCAAGTGGTGGCAGCATAGTGCTCAGGCCAGAGACACATTCTGGGCACAAACTACCAGCAGAGGCCTTAGAGGAGATTCCTACCACCACCAACTGCACCCGCGTTCTCCACACACACCGCTGAGCATGAGGGCGAGAGGCAGGGCCTGCTCACCAGATCTTGGGATGTGACAGGAATGGGGACAGGAGCCTGGGGAAACCTGGGGAGATCCTGCTGGCCCTGGGGAGCCCCCGACAGGTCCATGCGCAGCTGCCCCACACCACGAGGACAAACAGAATGCATGGCAGTAAGGAACTGGGAGGTCAGAGTAGGTATGGGGTGCTCTACTGACTCCAGGGACCAGGGCCTCTCTGGTAACTGGAAAGGCGTGGGGCCCGTCCACAGCAAGCACGCAGCCCCACTCACCTGGGTCCCTTTGTGGAACCCCTACCTAAAGCTTCTAAGGGCCACCAAAACTACCTCACAGAACAAACGCTCATCCAGCTGGAAAACTGCCCTGGGCAGCTGGTGCTGATGCAGAGTGTCTCTGTTAGCACTGGACTGTGGACTAGAGCTAGAGGACATGGAGCAGGGGCATGGAGGCCTGTCGAAGAGCGGCCTTCTGAACGTGACCTATGGGGATGTGGGCATGGCCTCTGCACCTGCAGGTCAGGCTTCGCTGGGACAGGCCTCACTCAGGCACTTACACAGCTGTGGAGGCTCTCCAGCTGGGACAGCTGTGGCAGAAGCCAGACAAGTGAAGCTCTCTGCCCCGCACAGGAAAGCAGCAGAGCCCCGTTTCACCACAAGAGGCGTGGCTGGAGCAAGCCCTTCTGAGGTAAAAGCAGACCCACATGACACCTAGGGCAACTTTCTAAGCCAGTCCCCATATCCTGGGCCTAGAAAGCTGGAAAATGACCAGGGCAACACCTTGCTGGATGGGGGACCTACTGCACGATGTGTCAGAGCACCTCTCAGTGCTCAGCARCCCAGGCTCCAGTCAGAGCTGTATACTGTGGTGGCCACAGCCAAGACTGCACTGCTGGGAGGTGCTGAGGCCAATGTGACCTGACCCATGCATCTGTAGGGCCRTGGGGTCAGGAGAGGCAGCAGCTAGCAAGGCCCTGGCGGCCCACAGTCCCCACTGAGATCCCATCCACCCCAGCACCCCAGGACCCTCCTGCATAATAGGCCGCAGCAGTGGTGGAGCCCTGGGTACATGGGTCCCAGGGAGGAGGTAGTGGTTGCCAGTCCCAGGAACGGCCCCCCAAAGGGGTTACCTGTGGGTGCCAGAGAGAGGCCCCTGCCTCCTGCACTACTCCCAGCGGCATGGGCGTTAGCACCATTCTGCTTCTCCAGGGTAGACGAAGAGTCTCGGGGCTGCGGCACAGGGCTGGGGGTGCTCCTCTGAGAGAGAGACCACAGCACGTCAGCAGGCCGAGCAGGACAAAGAGGGGGTGCCAGAAGGGGTTCGAGGCCCTAGCCAGGAACTGGGCCAGGAGGACTGTAGGCCAAATGAAGACCAGGGCAGAGGAGACCGTGGACATCCAAAACCCCAGGAACTATGCGTGTGGGTGAGCCATGCACACGTCACGTCCAGTTAAGAGACCAGGTGGAACTGCCACAGGTCCACCCATGAGAGATGAGGGGCTGCCACTCAGGCAGAGGCACAAGGGCCACTCAGGCAGGGCACCGCTCTGCTCGGGAGCAGCAGGAGATAGGCCTCGGGTAGTTCTCCTGATCGGTAAGGCTCTCCTCCCTCTGCCCACTCATGCCACCTTCCACCAAGCCCAGACAACAGGTAAAAGAGCAGGCGCTGCACCGTTAAATCTGCACTCTGAATGCCCTTTCTCTGGAGTCGGATGCTTGAAATTTTATAGCATATGAATTTGTTGATTTTTATATTTTGGGTAGTGGGGATGGAACCCAGAGGCACTGAACCACTGAGCCACATCCCTATTTCTTTGAAACAGGGTCTTGCTAAGTTGCTGAGGCTGGTCTGCAACTTGTGATCCTCTTGCCTCAGCCTTCTGAGTAGCTGGGTCACCAGAGTGCACCACCGTGCCTGGCAATGGGGCGTAATCTAACAAAAAAGGATATCCCATAAAAACAAATGAGAGGGCTGGGGTGATGGCTCAGTGGTGGAGTGCTTGTCTCGCGTGCGTGAGGCACTGGGTTCGATCCTCAGCACCACATTAAAAAATAAATAAAATAAAGGTATTCTGCCCCCCATCTACCAAAAAAAAAAAAAAAAAAAAGAGAGAACCCCGAACCCCTCTTGGCCACACGTGGCCCCCAAAGCCCCAGCCCAACCCCAGCCCCAGCCCAGCTTACCACCCTCTCGGCGCGGCTGGGCAGCACCACACTGGCCAGGGGAATGCTGACAGGAAGCTTGTTTGGCTGCACAGTGCTGAGCGGGATGCTGATGGGCAGGCTGGTGATGGTCTCCCCGTGGCCGCCATAGGCTCGCTCCTTCCCACTCTGCTGACAAGCGCCAGACTGTCACCACTGGCCCAGCCAGGCTCAGCAGACCCCAACCCAGGAGCACAGCCTTCAGTACACCACCCCCACTCTCCTGCAAGGGACAAGTAGCATCCATCTCTAGCTGGCAGTCCCCACAGGCAACTGTCTTCCATGGTGACGGCACCTCTCAGGCCCATGGGGCTTATACCTGCATAGCCTATGCCCTCGCCAGTGCAGTCCCAGCCTCCTGGACATCCCAGAGGCCCACTCACTTGGAACACGTCTCCAGACCGCTCCGCCTGCTGCACTGTTGGCTCCCTGATCACTGCCTGCAGGGCATCCTTCCCCACCCCTTGCCCACCCCCCACCTCCTCTCCATCCCTGCACACGTGCAAGAGGCTCCCTACCACAGAACCATGGGGCAACGGCCTCCTAAGCTGCATCCGGCACCCAGCAGCACACCCCGCCCTGGGAATGAACAGCTTCCCAGGGGAGACCCTGACGGAGCCCTGCCTGCCGCCACAATCTGCATCCTGAGGCCTGCACAGGTCAGTTACCCACATGTCCTCCAGGCAAAACTGTGTCCCATTGAGTTCAAAGTTAGAAAGGGCAACCCACTCTCCTAAACATGTCTCAGGATGGCTCTGTGGGGCACCTCCCAAAGCCCTGACAAGCCTGCCCTGCCCAGCACTCAGCCTGCAGAGCCCGAAGCCGAGGCTCCCAGGAGGCCAGCACCTCACCTTCTCACTGCTCTTTTCTCCTGCGATGGGCAAGGCCCCTGGAGAAGTGGGCCGGGGGTCTTGAGGGCTCAGCTTCATGCTGCTCGAGAGGCCAGGGCTCTGGCAGGGAAGGCTGCTTTCCTTGGCGTGCTCAGCTCTGCAATGAGAAACAACACTCAGGAGCCCCCTTGGAGCCGTAGTGGACCAAGCCCGGCAAACCCCAGAACTCTTCCTGTGGCTGCTGCCCCTTCCACTGCACTCACCGCGAGTGCACTTCACTGGCAACCATCTTGGCAGGCCCAGCGTGGTCCTGGCTCAGGTGCCTCCTAAGCACGATCTTGGCTGGGGAGAGCCTGGTGTAGTCCGGCAAGGCCAGGCCCGACAGCTTCTCCAGCCGGGGGCGGCCGCTGTGGCTGGGGGTGCAGGGCACGACCTCCTGGTCCAAGGGGGAGGCGAGGTACTGGGGGGTGTTCTGCTTGGAAGAAGGCCGACTCAGAGCACCACAGAGCTCATAGCTGGTGGCGTGGCCATTCATGGAGAGCTCTGGGCTCATGCTGCTCACGTGAGGCAGGGCAAGCCTGGCACAGTCCAGCTCCAAGTGCAGCCTGCTGGCCTCCGCCTCCAGCTCCCGGCCCAGGGTGCCCTTCCCGCGCAGGTGCATGGACAGCGCATCGTCAGGCGGCACGCAGGACTTGAGCTGCAGAAGCTCCTGCTGCCGCTGGCTCTTTTCCAGCTCCACAATGCTGATCTGCAGGGCAAGAGGGAGCCATCCGACGGGATGGGAGGGCGGCCAGGCCTATCTCCCAGCCAGTCACCACCCACAGGGACCCTCCCAAGGAAGGTACAAGTTGGCYGCCCCGGAGCTGCCAGGGTGTGGCACACATGAGTGAGAAGACCCAGGCAGCGGAAATCTAAGGATGGGGTGGCAGATACAGGACACGYGGATGTCACAGACAGGCCAACAGACACGTGCTCTTCGAGAGGAGAGCACATGCCTCCAGCAGTCACAGGAGCACCGTGACCCACTTCTGTTAGCACAGACTTGTGTGCATGGAAACAGCAACGCTGCGGAGGACGGGCCACACTGGACCTGCAGCCTCTCCTTCCTGGTGCTGAGGGGACACTTTCCATTCAAGCAGTTTGCTCTGTGACCCCTCAGCCYGCTACTGACGTAGCACACAGGAGCCCGTCGTGCTGAGAAGGGCAGAAGCCACGAGGGCCTGGCATGAAGACCTCTCCCAGGCCAGAGGCTGCGCAGGACGGTGTGGGCGGGGCCCGCCAKCTCCTTTCCCTGTTATCTTTGAGATGTTTTTCGCTGTGTCCCTCAGCTGGTCTCAAGCAACCCCACCTCTGCCCAGAGAAGCTGGGGCAATACGTGTGCCACCGTGCCCGGCTGTTCCTGTTTTACAGGACACGCCAGCGAGGCTGCTGGGGACAGTGATGCTCGGCAGGGCACAGTGCAGAAATGCAGCGGGCAATGTGCCCCGGAGCCTTCAAACGCCAGGGAAGCCACTCGTCGGGAGTTCATGTTGAATGYATCCCAGTGTCTCCCAGTGAGGAGCCATCCCATGGTAAGCGCCCAGGGACAGGGACCTTTTCAGTAACCTGGAGCCTGCCCTGGAAGGTATGGCCTCCGAGGGTCCAGGTGCTCACTGCAAGCCCCCTCGTTTCCCTCCGCACTGCTGCCTGGCAGTACTGTGCCTGCCCTGGGAGGGCAGGCCTACACACTGCCCCGCCTCCTCACGCTTTCTGAGTGGACACACCTCTCACGTCTCAGGGTATGTGCTGGGTTTTTTTGTTTGTTTTTTTAACACATTTTAAAAATTTTATTTGTTTTTATTTTTACGTGGTGCTGAGGATCGAACCCAGTGCCTCCTCCGTGCTAGGCGAGCGCTGCCCCTGAGCCCCAGCCCCAGCCCCAGCCCCCGAGCTGGCTTTGGAATAAGCAAGTTCTGCCAGAGACCACTTTGCTAGGTATTTTTATGAAAAAGGTCCCAGGAAATCGGAGGTCTGGGGTGGATCCCTGCCACCAAAGCCACACCAGGGGCACGAGTAAGTGGTGCCCAGCTGCCTCGGCCTGCACACAGCAGGGGCCTGACAGGACAGGCCCATGGTGTGAAGCACAGGCTGCCACGGCACCTCCGCTGCCCTCAGGGACGCCTCTCAGGCTGGAAGTCGGGGGTCTCTGGGGTCTCACCTGCAGCTCCAGGCAGTGCCGCTGCTTCTCCGAGATCTGGCTCCTCAGGGCCTGCTTCTCCTTGCGCAGGTTCTCCAGGGACAGGGAGGACCAATCCAACTTCAGCTCCTCACACCGGGCCCGGAGCTGCAGCCATAGGGACAAGGAGTCTTGGCAGCAAGTCCAGCCCAGCCCAGCCCAACCCCAATGGCAGGGAAGACGAGGAGCGCTGCTCTCGCGGCAGGGTGCCCAGGGGCATGGCCCCGCGTGCCTGGAGCACGGCCCCACGTCTGGATGCCAGTGTGGCAAGCCAGGGCCCTCACAGAGCCTGTGGTACACAAGATCACCAACCCACGAGGGGCGAGGTAAGGAGTGCCCCGTGACCTGGCAGGGGGCACCCTGAGAAGCGAAGCTCCTAGAGGTCCAGTGGCACGTGAAAAGTGGGGCCACAGGTCTGGAGCATGGTCTGAGGCGGGGTCCACAGAAGTCCTGCCTCACAGACATCCTGACCAGGGCCGTGGGGAAGCCGAGCTCCTGGAGGACATCAGCTCTTCCATGGCTGACCAGTCAGTGACAGGCCTCTGGGCCCACGTGCCCAAGGGAGACCCAGCAGGTCAGTCCTCGACCCAGCCCACTCCAGAACACTCTGGAAGCCGCAGCCTGATGCCGGCACATACCAGCTGCAGGCTCTGGCTGCGCAGCTCGCTGTTGTCCCTCTCCAGCTGCTCGGACTGCTCCCGCAGCTGCTGGTTGTGAGCAGAGATCTCCTTCTGGGCTTGGATCAGGTCATTGTAGGTCAGGGCCTTCACACCCAGCTGGGGACACAACAAGAGGCGCGTGGGTGCAGGAACAGCTCGCCCCGGCAGCCTGAGGAGCCCCCACGGCTGCCAGGGACCACAGGGGAGGGAGTGATGGGATGGATAGATGGCAGAAAGAAGGAGCTTCTCATGTCCCTGGGGACACTAGAGGGTGGGGTGCATACTGGTGACCGCAGAGAAGACAGAGGTGAAGGGAGTGACCATCTGCAGCCCTGCCCCAGGACACAGAAGCGGCAGCCCCACGTGGCTGCAAGTGGACCGGGGCCCTTCCCTCCTCCGCCAGCCTCCGCCRTCCTGACAGAATGCCATCATAGAGGCAGGCAGGGCTAGGGGAAGCTGCCCTGGACCTCACCGCGCTCCACCAAGCCCCTGGTCATAACTGCTAGGATGGAGGCCCAAGGCAGCCGCATGGCCTGCAGGCCACTACCTCATCCAGTTTTTGCTGGAAGAGTCTCCTGATCTCCTCCTTCTGGGCCTGGCAGTGGCCGAAGAGCTGCTGTGCGGTGCCCAGCAACTGGGCGTTCCTCTCCTGTGGGTAGGGGACAGACGGGAAGAGAGCTCAAGGACCACTGGGAAGGCTGATGCCATGCGGTGACAGTGGAACCAGCACGGGAGCAACACAAACCCACGCCCAAGTGCCCACAGCAGGACAGACAGCATGGAGGGCAGGGCCACACGCACCTTCTCCTGGTCCAGCAGCTGCTGCAGGTTGGCCTTGTACTGGGGGGTCTTCGTGTAAGCCAGGAACTGCAGGTACTGAATCTTGAACGACTCTAGGGAGACACAACTCGGCTTGGAAGACAGCACATGAGGGGAGCGGGGAGGGCAGGGCAGGGCAGGGCAGGGCAGGGGAGGGATGGCCCTTCAGGAGCGCTGGGCTTCGGCCTCAGCTCACTGCACTTCTGGGCGGGGCCTGGGCTGCCTGCCATGCCCAGGCTGTGCCCCCCAACCATGGCGATGCCCACCCTCCCTGTGACACATCTCGCAACACCCACACCACAGGGGTGCCCTGTGCAGCACAGCAAGATGGCCCTGCACTCTCCTGGACCCACCGGGCACAGAGCCCACCTGATAGCTGTGCTGGGATTCCTCCCTGTGCAGTGACTCGGTCTCCAGGGTGGGTGTCCTGACACTACAGGGTGCTGAGCTGCACCCTGGTCTGGTACCCCAGTCAGGACAGCCATCAATATCTCCTGAGGTGAGTCAGCCTCAGTCACTCACATAGGCCCAACCTGAGCCTCTGCTGACCCATCCAGGAGGTCCAGCAGGGGTCTCTGGGGAACACTGGTGCTGAAGAACCTCTACACCCAACCCCAAGCTGCATGGGAGCCATGACCCCCAGAACCCTCGACCCGTCCTGAAAACACTGCAGGCCAGGGCAGCTGCCCCAGCCAGGCCTCCTGGGGCCCCGACCAGCTCACCTAGCAGCTTTTGTAGCGCAGGTGGGGTGGGCGCCACCAGCAGTGGGTTGGGGGAGTGCCGCTGCACACTGGGAGGTAGCTGGTAGAACGGGCTGTGAGGTGACCGGCAGGCATCTGCAGGAGAAAGCCGCGTCCAGGTGTCAGCCATGAACGCCCGCCCCGACTATGCGGGATAGCTCTCCAGGTCTACAGAAMCGAGGCTCCCTACGTTTCCTGGAAGCCAGAGGACGCACCCAACAGCACATCTCGGCAACACGGACTGCCACCCGCAGCGGCCATCTGGCTGGTGGCCCACTCCTGGCCTGAACACCACCACTTTTGCCTTAGTCGCTTTGGCCTCACATGTGCTAGGCAGGCGCTAACCACCAGCAAGAATGGGCTGAAAAAGCACCCACGTGCTACAGGGCTTCGCTCAGGGCAGGAGGGCGCTGACCGGTACGCACCTCCTGCAGTCACGACCACCCCTGCTCCTCCCAGGGCCCTCAGCAGGGTGGGCAGGAGGCAGGCATGCTTTCCCCAGGGCACCTGGACACTGGCTCCAGGAGGTGCCCTGGGCAGGGTTAGGCTGCTCACCCTGGGGCGAGGAGGATGCTGTCCCTGTCCGGGACACGGTCTGGCTGTGCAGGAGATCCAGTGCAGATTGGTTCTTCTTGGGCTTGCGCTCGGGGTTTGCAGTGTTCATTTTCTTGGGACGCCCACGCTTTCGGCCAGCCATCTTCCGCCCCTTCTTGTTCAATTTCTTCTTCCGGGCTTTGGAGGGAGATGGCTTTTTGACAGTGGTTACCCCCGCTTTTTCCTCCTCAGCACCAGAATCCTGACCGGCAAAGGCAGGAACAAAGGGTCCGGCTGATTACCAAGACGGTGCCAGGGGCTGGGGGCGAGGCGCAGGGCAGCTGCTCTCAGTAGCCCCCGCCATGGATGGCAGGCACTGCCTCCGTGGCCAAGGCAGGGGCTGAGTCCTACGGGCCTTCCCTGGGGGCCCTGTGAGAGGGCACCTTACCCTGGGGGCCTCAGCGGGCCCAGCCGCCTTGCTCTCGGGGACCTTGGCGGGTGCGGCCGCCTTGCTCTCGGGGACCTTGGTGGGGGTGGTCGCGTTGCTCTTGCTCTCTCGCTGCTGCCGACGCCGAGCTGCCTCTTGCTCCTCCTGGGAAGAAAGCGTGGGACACGTGTCCGGAAGGCACTGGCACTCAGCTCTCCTTTCCCYGTGGCACAGGTGAGAGCGTGGGGGCAGCGCGGCACAAGACCCAGGCTGGCACAGAGGTAGCCGGTGTCCTCCGCCAACGCCCGTGAGAAGAAACCAAACACCTCAAACACGAGGCGACCAAGAGCAAGACCCAAGTGCAAGGTCCCAGCCCTGCCCCTGAAGGGGAAACCCAGAGGCCCACCTGCAGGCCACTAGCTGCCTAGGCATTTGCCCCCTTGACCAAGAGGCACTGGCACTCTGCAGTCATGAGAGAACCATGTCAGCCAGCCAGGACAGCTGCACTCTCCTGAAGACCCGCACCCCAGGAAGAACACTGCCCAGATGGCCCCCACACACTGGGCCCAATCCAGTCCATTTAAGGACAAGGACTCCTCTGACTCTCCCGAGGGACTGAGTGGAGGGTCATGCTCCCAGCTTGAGTGTCCAGTGACCAGGCAGCTGAAGCCGCAGAAGCACTACTAAGCCCACTGTCCAAGCAGGACAGGCATGAGAGCAAACACAGGTCGGGCAGACCACAACAGGCGGGCTACCCAACTCTGGTCAGGGAGGGACGCAGGGCAGCACAACGAGCCAGTAGCCTGCACAGAAGCCCCCGCCTCAGCACGCTCACACCACAGCCCACCCCACCCGCCCCGCCGGCCGGCCCGGTCTGCTGGCAGTGAGGCAGACGCACAGGCAGAGGGCAGCAAGGGATGCAGAGACCCTGGCCCTCAGGCACCTGGTCCCTCAGAACCTGGCGGCTGCACACAGAGCACCACACCCACACCGCTAAGTCAAGGAGAAAGAAACAACAACTTACCCTGAGTTTTGGGTTTTTCAGACTAGAAAAATAGTTTTCAAGCTAAAAGGAAGAGGAAAAAAACACTTAATACAAGTGAGTCCCAAATTTCCAGGACAAAAGCGACACCCAGAGAACCTCAGGCACACTGGACAGCCAGGTGACAGGTACTCAGCACACAGCTGGCATCAACAGCAAGCCCAGTGTGACTCAACCCCCCAAAAAGCTGTTGTCCCTGCCACTCACGATAGTCCCAACCCTCAGGCCCCAGAGTCTCGTCTCCTGCAGAGAGACTGGGAAGCGGGTGGCAGAGGCACAGGACCAGCCTCCCGGGACACTGGGTGAGGAAGCCAGGTGGGCCGTTCCCRTCCCTGTGCTGTTCAAGCCTGAGACCCACACACAGCCCTGACTGTGCGCCACTCGCGGCCCTTTCTGCTCAGTCCACACAGGGCTCCACGGGTGGACGGCTCTGGGAGAAGGCAGAGGTGGCTGCACAGGGCCAGGTCGGGGAGCCTCGAGCACAGGGGAGCAGAGCGCGAGAACTCACTATGGTGCGGTCGATGGTGTGCAGGTAGTAGGAGACTGGCTTCCCCGTCCACGACACCGAGCCCTTCAGGGGTGACAGCTCAACCACACGCATGATGGTGCCAATGTCTGCAGACCAGCAGAAGAGCTCAGGCCACAGAGCGCACGGCCCCGGGCCCGGCCACCCGCCTCCAAAGCCCCGCAGCTGAGAAGGGCCAGCAGCGCCCGTGCCACGGTCGACCGCCTTCACCCTGTGCAGGGCCATGCCTGGGTCCCCCCAAGCCCAGGCTGGCCAGCAATTCCCAGGCCTGGCCTGGCTGCCAGAGCAGGCGGAGGAGCAGCACCTGAGCCAGAGCTCTGTGGCCTAGGGGAGCTTGTCAGGATAAAGGCAAGGGGCTCGACCGCATGGGTCACCAGGAGCCTGCAGAAGGATCTGGAAACAGCTCAGATCACAGCTGTGAGAACAGCCAGCACCTCTGAACATGCACCCTGAGAAGAGAGGAGAGCGCTGCCCAGAGGACAAGGGAGGCGCCACAGTTCCCCTGCATGGGCAGCCAGTGGGAGGCAACCTAGGCCTCCAGGCCAAAGCCTTTCCTGTCCAGGGGCCCTGATCCTTCACCCCCTCCTCAGAGCCACGGTCTCATCTGGGTGACTCTGCTCCCAGGGGACACGACCACATCAGACAAACGTGGTCATCATGAGGCAGAGGGAAATCAGGACACTGCTTGGCAGCCTGCAGTGACCTGCCAGCCAGAGGAGCTGCCCCGTGTGCGCAGAGCCAGGGGAGACTGGCCAACGCACGTCTGTGCTTACTCTGCCCTGCTCAGTCTCCCAGCAACGCAAGGGCTCTTACCACTCAAGTTTCTACTGTTGATTCTGAAGTTGAGAGGTGCGAAGGGTTTCGAGGACACGATTCTGCCACCTGAAACACAAAGGAGACTGGTTCCACTCGTGGGAAAACATGCATACACATGACCCAAACTGCAGCTCAGAGCAGGCCACCAAGGAGACAGCAACAGGACTCGAGTCCCACCCACCACTCAGAGGAAGGAAACCTAGGCCTCGGCTGCCCGGTGAACCTGTCCCAGAGAGTCCTCCTTCAAACACACTGGGCAGCCCTTCCTTGGGCAGCCCTTCCTTACGCAGCCCCGGTGGGTCCCTGAACCTGCTGCCCCAGGTGGAGGCGCACCAGACGGCACGACCACCACCGACTGCAGGGTCCACACAGAGTGCCTGGGGACCTGGGACTGCCACCCATGGAGGAGGAAGCCAGGCTGGGAACAGCAGTGCCTGGCGGACCTCTCCTGGGGCGGATGGCCGACTGAGGAAAGGGGACACACGTGTGTGAGAAGGGCCAGCACGGGGCCCAGGATAGGGAGGCCCTGGGCAGGGCTGGGATGCGTGGCCACCCACTCGAGTGAAGCCTGGGGCGATGAAAGCAACAGCCACACAGACAGCGGTCTGACTGTGCCCAGAGAGGTGACAAAGTCCAAGGGCCACAAGAGCCACAGGGAACCCTTTCACTAAATTCATTGCTGATGTAAATATCAATACTTGTCGCCATTATGAAACAGCTTTTCACATAAAAACAGAGGTCGTAGACATGCCGCTGCCCTGGGAGCCAAGCTGTGTGCGCGTGCGCAGCCGTGGGGCGGAGCCAGCCCCCTGAGCTGCACTAMGCACCCCCCTTTTTTTTCTTTCACTATTTTTTTAGTTGTAGGTGAACACAACGCCTTTATTTTACTTTTTATTTTTATGTGGTGCCGGGGACCAAACCCCATGCCTCACGCATGATAGGCAAGCACTCTAACACTGAGCCACAACCCTGGCCTTTTATTTATTTATTTATTTTTAAAGACATTTCATCTCCAGACAGGTTCTCTTTAAGTTGCTGAGACTGGCCTTGAACTTCCAATCCTCCTGCATTGGCCTCCAGAGTCCCTGGGATGGCAGGTCCAGCCACCATACCCAGCCCAAACCTTTTATTATAATAAAAGTCAAATAAAATCAAAGATGAAAGCGTGAAATTTAAATCAGAAAATTCAAACATCGTCCAGTTGGGCACATCTGTGTGCACACACACTCGCAGGACACCAGCATCCAGCCCCCACAACCTACCCTGCCTTTGCTTTTTAAGTCCCGACCCCCAGCAGGAGGGCTGGGCTGGGCTGGACTGGGCTGCCACAGGCCTGGCCAGGTCCTGCTGTGCCAGAAAGGAGTCAGACCCTGATGAGCAGGGTCCTGTCAGAAGGCCATGGAGCCAGCGAGGCTGGCTCAGTGGCACGCGGGGAATCGTCCGAGCTGCAGAGAACATCACTACAACAGCCTGCTCCCCACTGCGCACCCAGGCCATGAACAGAAGCAGGAAGCCGTGCCCCACACACCCCACAAGCACGCGGGCAGCAAGCAACGCCAGTGGCCACCCCTCRTAAACGTCCTGCGTGATCCCAGATCCAAAGGGATGCGCCGAGGCGAGTGAGCGCCTTCTGAGGGCACCTGTTACCACGAAGGGCTGGCACCCAGCACAGCTGGCTGCGAGGGACAGGTCAACAAACAGGGAGGAGCAAGTGCAAGACATGGGATGCCCCACAAGACTACAGTTCAACACTGACACAGGCAAGGTTAGGAGAGGGGGTGGGCCTGAATGTGCCCAGAGTATGGGGGAGCCCCGTCTCGCATGCCAAAGCCCCAGGTGCCACCCCTAGGGCCACAGAAAAGAACACAGGTGCGAATGTCAGAGAGCAAGTGACCCCAGCAGCCACCAGGCAGTGCCCATAGGTGAGTGCAGACGGAAAGGCAGCTGTGGAGTCCAACAGGAATCTCTTCCTTCTGAGGGTGCAAGCAGCACTTGACACCGGTGACCCCAGTCCTCAGGAGGGACTTGAGGGCCGCTCAGGGATGCAGTGTGGCACTGGCCACCCCTGACTCTACAGTAACTCAGGACACTGCTCCACACAGGGCTACAGTCACAGCCCTGCACACACAGGCCCAGGCCCAGTGCTTCCCACAACTGGTGCCGTCTGGTTGATGCTGGGCTAGTCTGTCCACTCAGTCTGCCTGACAGTGGGATGACAACCCTGGAGGAGAGCCTCCCCACAGTCTCTCCTGGCCTGGGGCCTCCCGAGAACAAGCGACAGGAAGCAGGCTCCCAGCGCCCAGGACACCTGGAAACTCAGAGCAGCAGCAGACAGAACAGCAGCCGGCAGAGGAGGGGGAACAGCGGCAGTTTGGTGCACTGCCCCATACCTCCTGGGCTTGGCCCCATGAGAGCCCCAGGAAGATGCAGGCAGGACAAGCAGCAGCTCTGTCGGGAGCTAGGGACACAGCTCAGCTGTAGGCGCATGCCCTGCGTGCACAGGCCTGGGTTCAGTCCCCAGCACCACCAAAAATAAAAGAGCGGCAGGAGCAGCAGCTCTGCCCTTAGCTACACTAGCAAGAGCCACCGTGGCCCTGCCAGGCAGAGTCAACGGCTTCTGACGCTGCCGGCCACTGTGGGCCGGGGACACGTCGAAGTTTGTGAAGGGAGACTCCCAATCTGCTTGCCTGCCGCACTGGAGGGCAGTGGCATCTGAGGCAGGGCCCTAGGCAGACGCACTTTGGGCACAAGGATTCGAGCCCACAGCAGTGGATTCACTTGTTCCAAAGAGACAACCCAGGCCAAGATTTACACACACAGCGACCTCAGCCCTCAGGAGGGGCTGTCCGTGCGGAGCCCCGTATTGTGAGGGCCTGGTGGAGGGGTGCATTACCTTCCTTCATGTTTGCAAACCGCTCCTTCAGCTGGTGATCCACCTCAGGACCAAAGGCAAAGTTATTCACAAATATAACACTGCAAAACAATGTTCCAGTTGAGTCAGCCACAGCTCCACTCCAGGCACACAGTCCCAGCGTGGCAACGACCTGCCTCCAGCCACCACCAGGCGCTGCCCGCACCCCACCTGCCCCCCGGGGCGCCACCAGAGCAGAGCAGCAGCACGGGCCTAAACAAGGCGCTCTCGTGTTCCTGGCCAGGGGCCCCACTGAACCCTGGCAGTCTTAAAACCAGAGTGTCTGGAAACGTCCACTAGCGATCACACCAGGTCAGACATCCCTGAGGACTGGACAGGGGGAAGCAGGACAGCTGTGATCAAGGTGGAGAGCCATGAAGGCCTGGCAGGGATGAATGCAAAAGATGGACACAAAAAGTGGACACTCTGTCACCAGCACACAGAATAAAGATGGATGGCATATGCCCACGATGAAGGCATCTGGAGACCTAGACAGGGCTGGGTCTCATGCCCACTGGCCCTGCAGGCACTGAGCATGGACAGTCCAGGAGCCAGAGTCAAGCCTGACAGCTGTGAGATGGAGATGGCAGCTGGGCTGGGGCCATCGAGAAGCACACTCCGCACTCTCTACGCGTGGCCGCCCTGTCACTCCTCAGACACGACGAGGTGGACAGTGACCCAGACCCAGATGGCCAGCATAAGAAAGGGGCTGCCCGCCCGGGTCCTCAAGGGCGATGGGATGCCCCATGCCCGTGGGTACCACGTGCCCGCACTAGCCGTACCTTGTGTTGGCGATCCGCTCTCTCCACTCTTCTGAGAGGAAATCGCCTCGTTCCAGCTGAGAAAGAAAAGAGACCATTTACTCCCCGCATGGGTCTCGTGCAGTCCCACAGTCCTGCCCCTGCCCGGCTGCTGAGGAACACCTGAGAGGAGTAGCCGCCGGGGGAGGACACAAGAGAGGCCGAGGCCCGCCAGCCGCCACCTGTGCTACAGTGGGCCGGGAGCAAGGTGAGCTGAGCCCAGCCAGGATGCGGGAGCAGGGCAGAGCCCGTGACCACTCAGGGCCTGGAAGGGGGCAGACCAGCTTGGATGGGAAGTGGTGACAGCCACACCAAGGAATGTACTTGATAGCCGTGATGCTATGTCCATGCTCTCACTGGAGCCCACCCACAGGGCCCGTGGACCCAGGATGCGCCTGCTGCCGCCTGCGCTGTGGCTGGGCCCTCTAGGGGCAGCCCTGGGCAGGCTGTGTCAGTCCCACTAGGGCCTCCCTGAGGCAGCTCCGCAGGGCTGGGAAGCCCAGGGTGCCCTTCCTGTCCCCATAGTGCCCACGACACGCACACACAGCAGGGGAAGCCGGCCCCTCTGAGGGACCTCTGCCCGCTCACTACACGTCTGAGCCGGCACCACTGTCCCCACAACCCAAGCTGCAAGGCGGTTCTTGTTGGGAGGCTAGTGCTCCTTTCTGGCTTCCTCAGGCCAGGTCTTATGACCAATTGCCCAGGGCCATCACATCTGGAAAGCCAAGACACGAGGCGCTGTGCTCTCCAGCAGCAACCATTTCCACTGCGAGGCGGGAGCCCCAGAGACAGGAACATGGGCCACACTCCACATGGGCGTCCATGCACACCTGCATGGGGGTGGCCCTTGAGGATCTTGTGCTCAGTGGGAACCAGACACAAAGAGCACACGGTGTGTGACTCCAGTGATAGGGAACATGTAGGACAGGAGGGTCTGGAGACAAGAGATGACATTCCTGGGTGCTCGAGCTAGGGAGGGGGTGGGGACAGCTAATGAGTCACAGCAGAAGTGCCCATCAGATTCCCCACATCTGTGAGGTGACTTAGGACAATGTTGCTCACATAGCGCCCACAGCCCCATGTCCCATCCAGAGCATCTCTCAGGAGAGCAAGACACTGCTATCTGATGTGACAAGGTCACACCCAAGCCAGAGCAGCTGCTCATGAGCACAGAGACAGGAGGAGATGTGACCGTGGGAGACGGGAGCAGGATGGCCACTCTGAGCCTCTCCAGGGGCAGGACACTGCACTGGCTCCAGCCAACCCTAACATCTCTGTCTTCCCAGCTCCATACCCAGCCCTGGCCCCTCAGACACGTTAGGCCTGGACACGTAATTCATGCCTGCCTCTCTTTGAAGTCAGCATGTCACAGGTAGAAGCACCAAGTGACCTTACCCCCAAAACCCTAGGGAATAGGTCTGTGCGCTAGATGACAATATTCCACACATCGGCTTGCTGCTGGCTGGGAGTGACGCGTGTCCTACATGACTCACTGAGAGGATTCCGGAAGCCCTGCCTGAACTCCCCGGCCTCTGCCCACACTGCCCTTGTTCGTTCCTGTCAATGTGAAAGCCACAGCAGTCAGGATAGTCACGTGCCGCGTCCTAGGGTCCTCCCAGAGGATCACCAATCTGGGGAGCCTTGGATTCCAAGACAACACCTTCAGCCCTCTGGGGTGGACTTTCTCCTTCACAGCTCACCATCCATGGCAGACCACCGCCAAGCCACTGCCCAGCACCCATGAGCACCACCTGACTCCACTCCTACGCTCCCACAGGGCCGCACTCCTGGGGGCAGGCTTGCTCCTGCACCCAGCCCGCTCTGGGCCCTCCTTGCGTGGGTGCTGCTGGGGCCAAGCACTCTATTTTTTTTTTTTTTTTTAAAGAGAGAGTGAGAGAGGAGAAAGAGAGAAAGAGAGAGAATTTTTAATATTTATTTTTGTTGGTATGTGGTGCTGAGGATCGAACCGGGGCCGCACGCATGCCAGACGAACGCGATACCGCTTGAGCCACATCCCCAGCCCCCAGGCACTCTTGATGAAGAGCAGCTGGACAGTTTCCCAGTCTCCAGGCCCCAAGGTGGGAACCAAAGCTGGCTGGGTGTCTCAGAGTCCTGCTGATGCAGCAAAGGCCAAAGGGAAACTAGGTGGCGGGTGTGGAGCCAGCACGGAGGAGTGTTCTCACTGCAGGACTGCGCCTCACGCAGCCTGTGGCCACTGCACCCTGCCCTGAGCATGGAGACCACAGTCTGATAGGCAGCGGGGCCTGTACCTCTTCGTCTGTAGGACAGACCCAGCCCTGTGAAGTCTCCACACACAGGAGATTCAGGCAGGCCACACGCAAACCGAGGGAGGGCTGGAACCACCATCTTGGTGGGTGAGGGCCCCTGTCAAAAGGGCATGTCTGGGGCCAGGGTTGTGGCTCAGTGGGCACAGCACTTGCCTAGCATGCATGAGGCACTGAGTTCAATCCCCAGCACCACATAAAAACACACAAGTAAAATAAAGGTATTGTGTCCATCTACAACTAAAGCAAAAAAAAAAAAAAGAGCATGTCCATGAGTTGACCGTGGGGCTTAGCTACTCTGCCTACATGCAGAACAGCCAACAGCCAGCGCGGACACACCACAGACTACCACCAGAGCCCACCTCTTGACAGCATCTGGCACACAGGGAGGCCAGGGTGGCCTGGGCCCAGAGCAAACAAGGGTAAGAGATGCCAGCGCCTGCAGAGAGCTGAGGGCGCGGCTGCTGCTGCGGGGCCTCCACGGGCCGCGTTGYGGCAGCCAGCCCACCTCGGGGACAGCTGTCCCAGCCCCAGCGCATCSCCCAGAAGGATAGCCACCACACGGGGCAGAGGCGGAGCCACAGCCACAGAGGGTGCGGGTGGGTCTGCCTTCTGAACACACGACATCTGCTGAGCACCAGGCCGCCACAAAGCGCCCACGACAAGGAGACTGGCCTGGTGTCTCTGCCCCAAAGCTGGCTCCAGGGCTCTGGAGGACAGATGGGGCTCATGGTTAGAAGCTGAGGCAGCAAGAGCAGCCACAGCCTCCAGGGAGCGGGACTCGGCTGCAGCCGCAGGAGGGAACAGAGCAGCAGGCGCAGCGCCGCAGGGCAGTCTGTGAGCCCGGCCTCTACAGGGGCTGGGGAGGGTGTGAGCCATGAGGAGGTTCTGAGTCTGGGAAAGCACACTGGGCTATTTTTGGGCTCCTCCTGGCTTTATTCCTCTTCCCTTGTTGAGTAACGGAAGATGGGACTCAGGCTTGCCAACCAGGGCGCTGTGTCAGAGCCACAAAGAGCTACTCAGAGGCTTTTTCAAAAATCAGGGCACAAGTTCCCACCAAAACYGGCATTCAAACAGCCAGGGGCATCCTCCAGCTACACCTGCCAGAGGTCTGCCTGCAAAACAGGATGCTGCCCACAGGAGGGCACGCCGAGCTGGGGGCCGAGGCCGGCAGGAGGCCTGCTGTCTCTGCTCTGGTGTTCACGGTATCACCCAGGCCAGGAGGGAGGGAGTTCTTTCCCCCAAATTCTGTTCCTAGCCATAAGTCAGGAGTCACCAGCATGGACAGTGAGCCCCAAGAGCCCCCAGGAGAGGCAGACAGTGGAAATGGGCCAGGTGCGACACCATGACTTCACACACAAGCTGACCCAAGGCCTGGCAGGCCTCAGTGACGACGAGACGAGAAGGGGAGGACCAGAACCTGGCCCCTCGGCCCTCCCTCTCTTCCTCTGGTGGTGAAAGCACAGGAGGCCACCAGGAGACTGACTGGGGCTCCTTCTGGGAAACACGGCGATGAGAACTTTCGAGCCATGTGCTTGAACTCTCAGCAGAAATGTGGAGCACACTGTTGGGTCCAACCCTGTGCACCTCGATTAGTCGGGGATCTTGAGAACCTGGGGACCTAGCTGGGACTTCAGCTGGGAACTTTCCAGGAGACAGAGCCCTGGATGGGAACAGGGGTCCTGGAAATGGAAGCAGAGCGGCTTGCTGCCTCCCCATCCCGGGGAAACCCAGAGCCCCTTGGACGTGCGAAGGCAAGAGGAGCACAGGTACCACCCTCACCTCTCAGTGGSGGCGGGGTGGGGTCGGGATGTAGAAAAGGTTGTCACCAAGAAAAGAAGGCAAGCTGTATCCCCTGCCCAGGGTTGAAATCCTGGTCTCGGAAGAACAGGGTAGAAGCAGAGGAAGGACTTCCTAACTCAGTACTAGAAGCTGGTGTAGCTACTCAATGCCAAAACCCCACAGCCACTGGAGGAAAGGACTGCAGATGTCACTGCTGTCACCACAGGGGCAAAACCTCAGCAAAGAGAAGCCAAGGCCAGCTGGACTTTCCTGACCATCGCCAGTAGCAGGCCATAGGCACGGTGCGGCTCGGGGCAGAGCACTTGCCTCTAACAGACGTGAGCCCTGGGGTCATGCCCAGCACTGAAAGAAAAGACTTAAAAAGCAAGAGCTTAAGATTAAAAATGAGTGTCCCATCAGCTGGCCACCGGCCAGAGGGGCCCACACACTCACATTCACATGGGATGTGACACGCCCACAAGGACCCTGCAACAGCAACCAACCTATGCAGCGGGGGTGGAGAAAAACTCCACCCCCCCAGGCGCCTTTTGCTAACACAGCCAGGGCAGCAGAGCTGGGCCCGCCCCAAGGCAGCCCTCAGGCCTCAAGGACAAGACGGAAGAGGGACTTCCAGGAGGCCCACCAACTGCAAGTCCTCCTCCTGCTAGGGCTCACGGTGACCACACACTGCCTGAAGGATGGAGGCCCAGGCCAGAGAGGCAGTAAGGGCAAAGTTCCCATGTTACTATGCGGGAGTGGCGGGGGCCCTATAGGGGACAGGATGGGACGGCTGCAGGGGGCAGGGGTCGTAGCCGCGGGCATGGAGCGATGGCACTCACTGTGTATTCTGCATGCTTTTTTCCATACCATTTCATCCACTTCCTGAACTCTCGGTCCATGGTCTGGAAGGAACACACATCCGACAGCCCTTTAGAAACCCAGGGAGGCCAGGAAGGCACAGGAGGGCCCCACCCCCGACACCCCCCACCCCCCAGGTCCCTCAGACCCTACGGCCTCGCCTGCTCTGGCAGGAGCACACTGTCTGGGATGTCAGTTTCCACCTGCAGTCTTGCTGAGAAGCACCCCAGGGTGCTAGACACATTTCTGCAGGCCAGAGTGATGGCTCAGGTACACCTACTCGCCAAGCCCAAATGACTCTCCACCCTGGGCAGAGGCTACGAGGGGCTGGCTCTAGCAAAGGCCCAATCCTCCACTGCTAAGAGGGGGAATGGCCAAGGAGGGGAGTGGGCAGTGAGAGTCAGGTGTGCAGATGTGAGGAGCTAAGCACGATTCTTCTACCAGGAGGGGAACAGTCACCTCCTCCCAGATGCCCATGGTGTGCAATCCCAGGAGAATGGAACCAAGGGCACAGAGGCCCTGCCAAAACTTCTCCCTAAGGGACGTGGCAATCTGCAGGGAGGGGCTGGGGTTGTAAACACAGGTACACCCCTGATTCAATTAAAATTCCCAGGCCTGCGAAGACTGATGCCAGGTGGGGAAGCCCTCGAGCAGCAGGTCTGGGCACAGGGCACAGCAGGTCTGCCCTCATTGGGGTTCCCTGCCTCCGCGGGCCCCACTCACCTCCGCGTACTTAGCTGGGATGTCTGCTTTCTCCACTCCATAGTGATGCTTGCAGTTGGTGGCTGCAGCAACCTGAAGGACAACCTGCCCCACACCTTCAAGCAGAGAAAGATGTGTCAGAGGCCAAGGCAGCCTGTGGGAGAGGCATGCCACCTGGGACTCCACCAGGTGGACCCTACTGAGGGGGCGGTCACACCAGAGTCGGGGACGCAAGCTACATGATCATGTCCACTGACATCAAGAGTCGAGGCCATGGGTTGGGGATGTGGCTCCAGCGGTAGCGTGCTCGCCTGGGAGCCGCGAGACGCTGGGTTCGATGCTCAGCACCACATAAAAATAAAGATGTTGTGTCCGCCGAGAACTAAAAAATAAATTTAAAAAAAATAAAAAATAACAAAAAAAGAGTCGAGGCCACAGAACACCTCAAAACCACTGTGAACTCTGAAGTCACTTGGAACACCTCAAATGAGCTCCCACCAGACGTCTCTGCTCCACCCACTCACCCAGGGCAGTCCTCTGTGGCCCCCAAAGGCAGAATCCTCTCTCTGAGGACGCTGCCTGAGTCACTGCTCAGGCACAGCACAGCTAGAGAAGGCACAGCACTACCTAGAAAGATGCTCCTCTGCCGTTACCCACAGTCACCAAGAGTGGGTAGCCTGGCAGGCCTGAAATGCCCTCCAGGAAGTCCAGCGTGACCTGACTAAGGGATGTCTGTGGACCCCCCCCCCCAAAGATTGGGATGAAGTCTCCAATCTCTGTCACTTCAAGGAGTCTCTGCAGGGCCAGCACACCCAGTGGCCTGTGCAGAAGCCAACACTGTGACTGCAGACATCCAGGGGTCCTGAGTGTCAAGGCATTGATGCAGCAGGGCCTTCAGAACCATCTTTCCTCACATGGGGTCAGTGCTGGACTCCAGCTTGCCTTTCCAGGCCGCACACGACACGTTCAAGTAATAATGAGCATGCAACTGAGAGCCATGCCAGCAGAGGTGGCCCGAGCCAGGCCTGAGAGTGCAGGACTCAATCTAACAGAGCCAGGCCACTGGCCACACTGGTCATCCCAGGAGGCTGAGGCAGGAGGATGCAAGTTTAAAGCCAGCCTGGGCAACTCAGTGAAACCCCATCTCCAAATAAAACAAAAAGCAAACAAAACAAGAAAAGCCGGGCATGATGGCACATGCCTGTGTCAGAGGCCAAGGCAGCCTGTGCGAGAGGCATGGCCACCTGGGACTCCACCAGGTGGACCCACTGAGGGGGCGGTCACACCAGAGCTCGGAAGGTTGAGGCAGGAGGATCCAAAGTTCAAAGCCAGCCTCAGCAACTTAACGAGGCCCTAAGCAACTTAACCAAGACCCTGTTTGAAAATAAAAAATCAAAAGGGCTGAGGATGTGGCTCAGTGATTAAGCACCCGAGTTCAATCCCTGGTACCAAAACAAACAAACAAACAAACAAACAACAACAACAAAAAACAAGTGGGGATGTGGGCCAGTGGTCAAGCACCCGGATGTTCGATCCCCAGTACTAGAGGACAGACACAAAGCACAGACCCTCCAGCAGAGGCTGAGGTTTGAAAGACGGCATCCTCTCCAAAATTCATGTGCAAACTTAATCCCAAATGGTAAGGTGTTAAGAGGTGGGACTTTGGAAGGGGACGCCACCCTCTTGTATGGAAGGGGTAAGCCAGGCCCCTTTCTGCATTCCACCTCCTGCCTGATGAGGACACAGCAGGAAGCAAAGCCTTCCTCGGGCTGGGCATCTGAGCTTCTGCCTGAACCTGGTGGGAGTGAGGCCCTACAGCCCTGACCAGAGAGCCACAACTCTGAAGGCTGAGTTCCCCTTGCCTCTGGCCAAGGAGCAGTCCCACAGGCCATGTTAAGTGCAGGCAGACAGGGGAGAAAGCCAGCATAGGTCAAGGGTCAGGGACTGAGCTCTAGGCCACAAYGGAAGACCCTGGACAGGAAGCAACTGGTGTGGTTCCTGGGAGCTTCTCCCCTGGGCTGTGGACACTCGGCCAGCACCTACTCCCAATTAAACTCTTCTGCAGGGACATGCACAAAGGCATGGACATAAACAACTCCTCTCRGGTCATGCAACCCAAAACTCACCACTGCCCAAGTCCACAAAGAGATCGTCCTCAGTCATCTTGATCTCATCAATCATCTGGGCCACCAGGTCAAAGGAGGTCTCCCCATACACCTCAGGGGAGAAGGGCTCATAGTTGTTGAGCTTCTCAGGGTCGGTCACTGAGTGGTTGTAGACCTGCTGCAGGATGTGTCGCAGGAGCCCATTGGACGGTCGTGTGTTCAGCTTCATGGGCTGGGTGGTGCCCTTCCACTAGGAACACGAGGTAGCGTCAGACAAGTAATGCCACAGGCAGACCACAGGGGCCACCCCAAGACAGAGGGCTAGGGATGTGGCTCAGCAGTAGAGCACTTTCCTAGCATGCGTGGGGCCCTGGGTTCCATCCCCAGGACCACAAAAAGAGAAACAGCAGCAGTAGCAAGCAGGGAGTGTGTGTGTGTGTGTGTGTGTGTGTACACAAAAGTGTGTCCGCATACTTGGGAGTGTACATCTGACTTTCTTTTCTGCAGCTGGGAAAGAGGGCATGGATCACGTTCTCTGTCACTCCTCCCGCTCAACTAGATGAGCTGCTACCGCCCTCATTCCAAAAGGCACTCTCTGACCCTAAGCTCATCCGGGGCTCGTGCCTGCCAGTGTGCAGCCTGGGTCCCAGCAGCCTCTGGCACCTCACTGCTCACCAGTGTGCCATCTCGTGCAAGAGCACCTGTGCCCTGGGCCCAGACATGGACATGGTTCCTTGCAAGACAGTGGTCTGGCCTCATCAACTCGGGCTCTGCAGCCACAGAAGGGCCACGAGCTGCTTCAAGAACCAAAAGCTGGCCGCTGTGGTACCGCTCATGCACGGGCCCTCAATGGCTCATCCAGAGTCCCTGGTATGACGCCCAACCCTCCGGTGTCACTGAAGGCCCAGCACCCGCCTCCTCACAAGAGGGTGCATGTGCAGCTCTGCTCATGACTCTTCATGGCCCCATCTCCAGGACCCAGCCCAGCCTCAGAGCTACAAGAAGGCCCCCATGCCCACCACTGACCCACACAAGGGTGCCTTACACACTCAGCTGATGCAAATACCCTCCCCATGGTTAGCAACGGCAAGCCAGCTACCCAGAGAGAGCCCTGGGGTGGCACACGCTACATGGCCAGCCAGCTACACGGGCATCGCAGCCTAGCTTGGGAGGGACGCGAGGCCACGCCACTCCACACTTTTGCCTCCCCAGTGGAAACACCTTCCAGGAGGAACCGGCTGTCACTGCATGTCCCTCATGAGTGCTGAGCATCTGTCAAGAGGCCCCACACCAGGGAACCTGCACTCTCCAGAAAGCAGATGGTCCTGGACCCAGGAAGCAGCAAGCCCCTGCTACAGGGTCCCAGCATTTCAGCTGTGTTGGGGGTGGTGAGGTCAGACACACCATGCCACAGTCGGGCCTGCACGGAGGACACCTGTCGCCTGCTGGAGAGCAGGGGAGGCAGAGCTCACAGCCAGGAAGGCCACTGAGTGCCCAGGTCTCGGCCGTGGCCCACAGGTAGCGAGCACAGGGGCAAGGTGCGTTTGAGGGTGCACTTCAGAAAGCAGAGCCGCCCCTGCCCCGTGGGGTTCAGCAGCAGCGCCCCAGGGCTTCACAGGGAACACCCGCCCAGGGAAGGGACAGCCTGTGGGCACTGAGGCGACCTACCAGCTGGTGGATGCTGTCGATGGCACGGTTGTACTTGTCACACAGCCTCTGCATGCTTTCAAAGCTGAAAAAGGTAAGGGAAAGGCTGTCACTGGAGCTTGGAACATGACCCTGAACCTCAGACGGGCACAGTTCAGGAGAGCCAGACCCCTCGCAGGGAGCCTCAGTTTCCCACCCAGTGAGGGGCTCGGCCCAACACAGATGCACAGGCGCAACACTGGCCAGGGTCCCGCGGAGAAAATGTACAAGGACAGCATGGCCAGGTTGGGCCCACACATCAAAGCCGAGGTCAGGTGGGCTAGCAGGCATCGCTCAGAACAGGACACTGGGCAGCAGCTCTTAAGGGAGGGCCACAGGCAAGACATGACCAGGGGCTCACACTCTGCARGCAGCTGAAGCTGGCGGAAAGCAGGCCCGGGCCCTGTGGGGGCCTTGGAGGGTCTTCCTTTTCCTGGCTGGAGAAAGCCCCCATCGTTCCTGCAGGTCTCCTCCCCGGGCGCTCTGGAAGCCAGCAGGCATAGTGTGGGGGCAGCTGCCAAGGGAAGCCCTCCTCTGCCTAAGGGCAGCACCCCTCTTCACACCAACATTGCTTCCGTCTAGGACCACCTTCTGAAACTTCTCACACATTCCCAGACGTGAAGAGCAGGTTAGAGCCTAACACAGAGCAAACACTGTGACTTTGCTCCAGGTGCTGGTCTCCAGCCCCTGACCACCCATATGCAAATGGGTTTGTCTGGTTGGATTTCTGTTTCCTTTGAAGTGCTAGGGATCAAACTAGGGCCTCACGCGAGCTAGGTTAGCACTCTACAGCTGAGCTACATCCCCAGTCCACATGAGCACACCCACAAGCTTCCATCAGCCTCCTGGGCTGGAACACCAGCTCAGCTACGACTGGCTCTCCCAGAGAATCTGGCGAAGAGGCCACAAGAGCCAAGGACAAGAGGACAATGCCTCTGAAAACTCCGACGACTGCTGCTTCACAAGGGCCGGGCCACCAAGAGCCAAGACCTGTTCCCTCAGTGCTGGAGCAACTGGGGGCCCATACAGGCCAGAGCTCGCGCCAAGGTCTGCAGCTGGCCACCAGCCAGACAAGAGCTGGTGGCCCACATGGGGCACAGTCCTCCTGGGGGGCCACAGTGAAGCCCGCACGCCTCTGTGGGTAACACCTCACCTTGGCCAGCCCCCTCCTGGGCCCCTGGTGGGAGGACAGGACCAACACCCCTGGGCCATTTCCTCATATAGACCTCAGGGTGAACAAGAAAGGCCACCATTTCACATCTCCGTGTTCTTGGGTTCCAATTTTTACATCTCACATTCAACCTCACAACTGCAAGCCACTCAAGACCTCTGGCAAGGGGCTGGGCTGGGCTCAGCGGTAGACGCTCACCTCGCACGTGCAAGGCCTTGGGTTCCACCCTCAGCACCACATACAAAATAAACAAGTGAAATGAAGGTGCTGTGTCCAACTACGGCTAAAAAATAGATATTAAAAAAAAAAACCCTCTGGCAAGCTTCTCCAGAGTGCAAAAAAATGGGGACCTCCCCATGTGCACAGGAGCCACACATTCCCTCAGTGGGTGCCATGCGACTGGCCCTGCTCCTGTCTCCCACCACTGATCTCTCTTCCAAAGCAGACTGAGCTGGGTGCAGTGAGGTAAACCTGTAATCCCAGCCGCTCAGGTAGCCGAGGCAGGAGGACAGTGAGCTTTGTCAAAGCCGGCAACTTAGCGAGGTCCTATCTAAAATAAAAAATGATGGGCTGGGGATGTGGCTCAAGCAGTAGCGTGCTCGCCTGGCATGCGCAGGGCGCTGGATTCAATCCTCAGCACCACATAAAAATAAAATAAAGATGTGTCCACCGAAAACTAAAAAAATAAATATTAAGAAATTCTCTCTCTCTCTCTCTCTCTCTCTTAAAAAAAAAATAATAACAACAAGGGCTGGGGGTGTACAGTACAGTGGTACAGTACCTCGGGTTCAGTCCCAGTGCCAAGAAGAGGAGCAAACTGAACCCAGAAGTCAAGAGTATCAAGCACTTGTGTAGGAGCGCACCGTGAACAAAGTGTCTCCAAAGGCCTGCCGGGGCAGGCACGTGAGGGCCTRGAGATGGGGCAGGGGAGCCCAGCATGTGATTAAGGGGAGGGCTGGGCCAGCACCGCCCTCCACTGCTGTCTACCTGAAGGGCTATGGTACTGGGGCAAACAAGCACTTCTGGCCTCTGCCCTGGTTCCTGACAGAGTTCCCATCCCCAGGAACACCAAGTGACAGCCGCCTTTTGTTCTGATGAGGCGACTCCTGGTGGGCTCCGGAAAYGGCTGGCAGCAGAACATACAAGCGATGGCTAGAAGCTTGGTGGTCTCAGTCCCACCTCCATCCACCAGAGAGAAGTGGGGGCTTCAGGTGCGACTAACCGTACCTACAAGATGGAGCCGCCACAAAAGCCCTGCACACAGGGGGAGCACGTGCAGGTGCGAGGGGTAGTGCGCCCGGCTCGACAGGACAGAACCCTCCCACGGGACGGTTCAGGACCTTCCGGGCACCTTGCCATCTGGCTGCTCATCTGCACCCTTTCTCATGTCCTTTGTAACAAACCACTTTTAAACATATCAGGTGATTCCCTGAGTCTTGTGAGCCACGCTGGCCAAGACGGAGCCTGAGGTGGCGTCCCAGGAACACCCACGCGTGAGGACATGAGGTGGCTGACCTCAGAGCCTACAGCACCAGGTCGACATGGATGTACCCTGCGAGCCAGCGGATCTTCAGGGCCCCTGCCCTACAGGAGAGAAGGCAGCTCCATTCCCTGCCTGTTCCCACAACAGGGTGAGGCCTGGGGCTGGGGAGGGTCACTGAGGCCAACATGCTGGCCTGCTGCATGAGTCCCTTCCATGGTGAACAGTGAAGGTGACGTCAGACAAAGAGCACCAGATGCTGACCATGAGAGGCTTGTGGTCACTCTAGGTTTGAACCTGTCTCAAGTGAGCCTTCTGAGCTCCCAAAGCAGCTCTGCAGGCGAGACTGCTCTGTCCCTCTCAGCCTGGCCCTCCTGCTCTCAAAAACACAGGGTTCCAGGCAGGCATTGCAGAGACGCCTCGCCCTCCCCCCACCCAAGTTCTGGGAGGGGACTGCTACAAGTGCCACCAGCAGCAGCAGCAGCAGCAGCAGGAGGAGACATGCCCTTTGAGCACACCCAGCCAAGAGGTCTACAGGGCTGGCCCAGCCCAGTGCTGTCCCTCGGCACCAGGGCAGCAGCAGCTGGTGGGAACACTGACTCTGGCAGGCAGCTCCTGCTATAGAACCAGTCACTGAGACTCRGGGACTCCACACACACCATGCCAGTGTCTACGACCTGGAGTCTCCAATTCTGTCCTTGCTGGCAGCCCTGGCCAACGCCTGATGGACACACCCACCAAAGTGACTACGGAGGCCACAGCCAGCTCCACAGAGGAATTTCGAATCAGCACATGCCATCTAAGAAGAGGTCACTCACTCTAGGCTGTGTCCCTATGATGAGCTGCATCCCCCTCACGGAGGAAGCAGCCGGGCACATCCATTTACCTTTTCTTTTTTTTTAGGTGGGATACCAAGGATTGAGCTCAGGGGCCCTCGACCCCTGAGCCACACCCAGACCTATTTTGTGTTCTATTTAGAGACAGGGTCTCACTGGGGTGCTTAGCGCCTCCATAATTTGCTGACGCTGGCTTTAAACTCTCGGCTGGCTTTAAACTCTCGATCCTCCTGCCTCTACCTCCCGAGCCACTGGGATTAAGGCATGCGCCACCACACCCGGTTCCATCTACCTTTTGGTGTCGTAGTCAATTAAAACGTAGTTCTCCATGGCAAGCTTGAGATCTGGAATCTCTTCACAGACCCATCTGAAACACAAACAGTGACCATAAAGAATACCATTATTTAGACTCCATTTTTACACTCCCCCCAGCTTTTTTTTTTTAAAAACSAGGGATTGAACTCAGGGGTGCTTTACAACTCAGTCACATCCCCAGCCATTTTATTCTTAACTTTGAGACAAGGTCTCATTAAATTGCTTAGGGCCTCATTAAACTGTGGAGGCTGGCCAGGAACTTACGATCCTCCTATCTCAGCCTCCAGGGTTGCTGGAATTACAGGCCACCGCAACCAGCGTACACTCCTTCTTGAACACTACTCGCTCTCACATATAAAAACAAAAATCTCTGGGTTGGGGATGTAGCTCACTGGTAGAACGCTTGCATGGCACGTGTGAGGCACTGGGTTCTATCCTCAACAGCACATAAAAATAAAGGTATTGTGTCCATCTACAACAAACTTTTTTTTAATCTCCCATGATTCAACTCAAAATGTGAAAGAGAGAAAGAAGGCATTGCTTTATAACAAATGCAAAGTTTATGATGAAGTTAATGTGAATCACTAATTCAATAAAGGCTTCAGAGTAAAATGAATTTACATGTTATGATAAGAATATAAAAGACTTTTTTTTAATTACCATAATAGGATCTAGAGAGAAATCTGCTCAAATCAGGGAGCTCTAAAAGCAACTTACAACTAGATACTTTAAAAAAAGCTATCATCTCGGGCTGGGGATGTGGCTCAAGCGGTAGTGCGCTCGCCTGGCATGCGTGCAGCCCGGGTTCGATCCTCAGCACCACATACAAACAAAGATGTTGTGTCTGCCAAAAACTAAAAAATAAATATTAAAAAAAAATTCTCTTTCTCTTTCTCTCTCTTTAAAAAAAAATTTAAAAAGCTATCATCTGAAAAATTAAAACTAGTCCAACAACAACAACAATGGTGCTTTTTCTTTTTTTTTTAATTTTAATATTTATTTTTTAGTTTTTTCGGTGGACACATCTTTCTTTGTATGTGGTGCTGAGGATCGAACCCAGGCCACACGCATGCCAGGTGAGTGCGCTACCGCTTGAGCCACATCCCCAGCCCACAACGGTGCTTTTTCAACAAGCACTGCGGGGGAGAGACAGGGGCCTATGTGAAGAGACAGGACCTAGGTGCTGGCCCGCTGCAGAGCAAAACTCCCTGGGCCCCGTGCAGCCCCACCAGGGCAGCACCCTGCAGACCTCGGAGAGTGAGACAGAGGCAGAGCCATGGGAGGAGGCATGCCGCCCCAGGGTGCCACCACCAAGACCAAATGCCTTCCAGCAAAGCAGCTGCAGGCGCAGAGGGCTCCACTGGCGAGTGCCACCCAGCACATTGGAGAGGACCCAGGCCTGCCACCCCAGCTCCTAGGCAGGATCCTGAATTCAAGGCCAGCCTAGGCAACTTAGCGAGACCCTGCTCAAGTCTAAAAGGAGCACCCAGGCTTCAAACTCCAGGACTGGGAAGGGGAAGAGGGAGAAGAGAAAACACCATCCTACAAARACCCTTTCAGTTTCAGGAGGTCGGCTTAGCCAGATACCAAAACCAGAAAGAGGCAAAGGACTATAAAGACAAAGGCGCTACAAGAAGGAAACGTGCAGACCAACAACCCTTAAGGGACAGACACAAAAGTCCTGCAACAGTCTGGGGAGCGGGCCTCACCAATCCCTGGAGACCCATGGGGCTGCAGGGAGGAATGAAGACTGTGCAGGGCCATCTCCACAAAGCAGAGGGTGCACACCATGCCAGTCAACCTCTCACAAGCTGGAGACAGAAAGAGGCGTCCCTTGGTGAAGGGCGCACGGTCATGGTCAGCTCTGCCTGTGGGCTCCCAGGAAGGCCACGAGGAAACCACAGGGCACAGGATGGCCCTCGATGCCCCGCAGCACAGCAGGAACCAGTCCTCCTCTCAACAGTGAGTCCAGTTTCCAGAACTTGAAATAAGCCTCATTGCATCCCCCATCTGAGGCAGGGGTGACCCCCAAACTCAAGAACCAAAGCCTCTGGGGCCACTGGGCAGCGCAACCCTCCCAATTTCTCCTGGGACCCCTCAGTGTGCCTCTAGTGTCATCAGGCCCTCTTCATCCTCAGCTCACACTGGGGCTAGGGTCCGCTCAGTGGCAGAGGCCTGACTACCCTGTGTGCCACGTGCAGGCCCCGGGCCCCATCCCCAGAACAGCAACACACACACACACACACACACACACACACACACACACACACGTAGAAGACACAGAAGGGCTGCAGCTGCCCTTGGCCACTGGGCACATCTCGGTCATCAGGTGAGGACTTCTGCAGCCACTTCTCGTCCACATTGTCCTACAGACCAAGAACAAAGGGAAGCAGAAGCTGGAGGGAGCACTTCAGCAGGCCACGACTCGCCCCAGGACCACACCACCAGAGCACCCAGGGAGCACAGAGAGGCAGGCCAGCAGAGCCTGGTGGAGCGAGCACGGCGCACCGCCACACGAGCGCACAGCCACACGACCGGTACTCAACACACGGTACTCAACACGCAGACGGGAATCTGTTTATCTTTACAGTACTGGGATTGAACTCAGAGGTGCTCTACCATAGAGCCACCCCATGGGGTTTTTGTTTTTAGACAAGGTTTAGCAAGTTGCCAGGCTGACCTTGAACTTGCAACCCTTCAGCCTCAGCCTCCTGAGTAACTGGGTGACAGGCTGCCCCACCAGGCCCAGCTAAAAGTCAGTATATTTATATACACTTCCAACACAGAGTTTAAAAACTCGTGTTTGCTTTCGTTTTGTGGTGCTAGGTATGAAACTTAGGGCCTTACACATGCTAAACACATGCTCTATCACTAAATTATACCACCTAACCCTAAAAAATTGTTTCTAAATGCCACTTAAAACAGCCTTAAAACATATACACTTGGGGGTAATCTCATGAAAGATATGCAAGACTTCTACACCAAAAGCAATGAAACTGTAGAAAAAAAGGTAAAGACAGCTAGACACAGTGGCACATGCCTGCAATTCCAGAGACTCTGGAAGCTGACACAGGAGGATCACAAGTTCAAAATCAGCCTCAGCAACTTGGTGAGACTTTGTCTCAAAATTTAAAAAATAAAAATAAAAAGGACTGGGGATGTATGGCTCAGTGGCAAATTGCCCCTGGGTTAAATCACTGGTACCACCAAAAAAAAAAAAAAAAAAGAGGAAAGAAGCTGGGAGGTGGAGGAGCATGCCTATAATCCCAGTGTCTTGGGAGGGTGAGGAAGGAGGGTCCCAAGTTCAAGGCCAGCCTCAGCAACTTAGCAAGGTCCTAAGTATCCTAGCGGGACCTCATCTCAAAATTAAACATAAAAATGGCTGGGGATGTGGCTCAGGGTTAAGCACCCCAGGGTTCAATCCCCAGGACCAAAACAATACACTACAGTGGGCTGGGGTGGCTCAGTAGTGAAGCACCTGCCTAGCACTTGTGAGCCTCTGGGTTCCATCGCCAGCCCCACAAAAAGACACAAGCAGGACTGGGAGTTCAATTCCCAGCACCACAAAACAAACAAAAATAAACAAGCAAAAAACTCCACTTGTGCAGCAGAAGCCCGGAGGCTGTTCAGCTGGTCCTTCTCCCTAGCAGCAGATGCAGACTCAAAGCCAGGCCGTAAGAAGCCCAGCAGGCCTTCCTGGGGAACATACGCTGCCCCCAGGTGGGACATGGGCAGAGCAGAACCGCCAAACGGGCATGGAGGAGGGCAGTGCTGGAAGAGGCCACCACAGGCTGATCCCTACAGTGCAAGGTACCAACAGCTGGCCCAGAGGCCTTGCTCTAGCACTGATGAGGCAGAGGGAGGACAGAGCCTGGGGACAGGAATGGGTTTCGGGGCCCTCYGCCCACACTACAAAGCCCGGGCACCAGCACCCCACTCCTGGGCTCCTGCTCCCTGCGGATACTGCAGGGACCCAACAAAACGATACACCAGAAAATCACTACCATACACACAAAGTTCAACCACGTTCAGCTCGAGTATGGAGATGTCACAGCCGTGTGGCACGCGTGGTAGCTGCCCAGTGCTGCATGTTAAGGCCGAGGCCCAGTAAACAATGTCCAAAAAGACCTCAGCAACTGCTCAGCATCAAGGTCCCTCCCTCTGACCAGGAGGGGCCCCCCTCTGAAATCCCCTTATTGGCAGTAAGACAGACCCCTAATCATCTCCACCCTCTCAGAGGTCAAGTCAGGAACGTGCCACACCTCGGTGGATCCTGTCTGTGGGGCTCACTCGAGCCCCAGTTCTCCCCAGCAGGCCCTTCTGTCCCTCTAGAGCTGCTGCAGGGCCCCTCCCTCTCCCCCAGGAGGTGTTCACTTTGATCAACTGTGTGTAGCTTATGCTCCAGGTTTCCGCTGTGAGTCACTCACTAGGGCTTGGCCCCCTGCCCACGTCCACTCACTTCAGGGAGCCGCCAGAGAGCGCAGCGTTACTGGGGGCAAAGGGGCCCCAAGACAGGTGTAGCTTTGCTGCAGGCCTGATCGGAGCGTCCTGACGGGAAGTGGCTCCACATTCCACACATGGGTGGGCCAGAGGGCCTCTCAGGGCACCATCCCTGACCACAGAGCTCCGGGAACAGGCAGCTGCCCCCTTTCTCCCTGTCCCCACTGTCACTGGCTCTTCTCTGAACACTCAGATGTGTTAGGGTGAGGGGCAGCCCTCAGTGACACACTCCAGTGACTCGGGAGGCCAAGGTGGGAGGATTACAAGTTCAAAGCCAGCCTCAGCAATTCAGTGAGGCCCTAAGCAACTTAGTGAGACCTTGTATCAAAATAAAAATAAAATAAAGAGCTGGGGATGCAGCTGAGTGGTTAAGTATCCCTGGGTTCAATCCTTGTACAAAAAAATAAACAAATAACCCGGGCACGGTCAGGCGCACTGGCACATGCCTATAATGCCAGCAACCCACAAGGCTGAGGCAGGAAGACCACCAGTTCAAGGCCAACCTGGGCAACTTAGCAAGACTCTATCTAAGGTAAAATTAAAAGGATCGGGGATGCAGCTAGTGGTAGAGCACTCTCCTGGCATGCACAAGACCCCAGGCTCCATCCCCAGGTGGAAAGAGAGAAAAATCCCGGGCATTTTATCTGTCAAGGGTGGTGGACCACAAGAACAGAGCATGGCTGTTAGGCCTGCAGCACAGCACAGAGCAATCTGGGCCCTCCTTGAGGCCTGTCCTGAGAGCTCCCCTGTTGAGGCCTGTAACCGCTAGGAGCAGGGCCCTCCCACTCTGGACACCCCCACCCGATACAACAGTGCTCTGCACCTCCCCGGAACTCACCGGATAGTCTCGATGATCTCATGAGCAGCATCATGATGTTTGTCCTGAAAAAGACAAAGCAACATCTTAGCCCACGGAGTGCCCTCCCTCCAGGCACAACCCCAGTGAATGGAGGTGGCTACTGGTCTCCCTGGTAACCCACACCATGGCGTCCAACCTCTTTTCATTTCTCAAATGATGTGGCTCCTGAGCCCACCCTCAAGAAAGGACCAGTAGATGCCAACCCACTGCAATGGTGGCCCCCTGAGCTAAGCCTTCCCAGAGGCCACTTCAGCCTAGAGTAACCGCCTGTCTGTGATTCTGCCTCCACACAAGCCCAACAAGGGCTGCGAAGTCGCTGAGCCCACAGAGATCTATGTCCCATCTGTAAACAGGGGTCACCATCACAACAAATGTCCGGCACATATGCACAGCTGTCCCAAAGCCCAGAACACACCATACCTGAAACCAAGTCCGCCAGCCCCAAACCCACCTCCAACCTCATCCCTGCTCTCCTCTGCACCCCAAGGCCAGCACCCCAGTTGGGTGCCCCTAGAGCCCAGGAGCATGGCCACTATTTGTACATCATACACGTACCCTACATGCTGATAAAAAATAGGCAAAGGATAAAAAGGAGGAGCAGCACCAGAGAGCGGGTGTTCCCCACCAGCCTGGTTAGAGACCCCAGAGCATTGCCCACGCCTCAGGTTCACCATACTCCCTTCCAAAAACACACAGGACTGTGGCTCCCCACCCACTACAGTGACCATGCCTGAAGATCCGGACCCTCACCCTCAAGAGGTGTACAGGTCTCCGCACATGCACACCTGCACACACCCAGATGCTTTCCTTGGTGCCCTTGGTCCCAGGCTGAGAAGCTGCAAGACAAAATCTGGACGTGGCCAGCACCAGCCCACCCTGCTCTCCCAAGGCCTCTGTGCCTCACRACATTCACATCCACAGCCGCTCTCCATCAGCCTGGCGCTGGCCGCCATGACAGAGCACCTGCAGCATTCCCCACCCTGTCTCCAGGAGCTCTCTGCTCAAGCCCATGCCTTCAGATCTCCTGCACCTCATTCACCAACCCTAGGGGCCACAGACTTTCTCAGTGCAGCCCCTAGCTCTCCAGCACGCAGCCCATGCCACACGAACAGTGAGCATCTGAAAGGCAGCTCTGCAGACTGAGGGCCACAAGTACACACCACACCCTGCATCTCCAGATGGGGGCAGAAGGGGACAAAGAATCTCAATAACAGCTTCACAGCGCACGTGCTGAAATATTTCCTACATGGTTAATAAAGTAAAGTCACTACCAGGCTACATGGCTCGTGTTCCAACTCCATGGAACTATTTCTGCTACTGCACACTGGATCTCTCTGCCCCATACTTGCCCCAGGGGGTGGGATGGGGCTGGGGCTGGGGCTAACGCAGTTGTTCCAATCAGCCCTGTCCCAAGGTCACCCCAGACTCTCCTGGGCACCTGGGATGCATGAGAAAACCAACTAGGATTTGAGCCTGGCACCTGGAGTCTCAGAGACACAGGTGGGGTGGAGCACGAAGGGTTGTCAAGCCTCATGGGGCCTGGGGCCAGCACCTCACAGCGGCCAACCAGGCCCCATGCAGGGCTACCAACTGGCTCCTGCTCGGCAGCTCTAAGGCGCAACTCCAGGCCTGTGCCTGCTCTCAGCCAAGCCATGGTTTTCAGAGCTCTACACAAGGGGACAGTGCCTGCCCCACAGGGGTGCTTGGCAAGAAAGGACCCTGGAAAGGGCTGAGCCCACCTGGGCACTCAGTAGCATCAGAACGACTCTCCAGACACCCTGGAGTCTTGTTTCAGAACATCTCAACTGAGACATAATTCTCAGACCATACGACTGGCCCTTAAAGTATCCGATTTGGACAGTAAAAAGCTTGCCTAGCATGCTCAAGGTCCTGGATATCAATATCCAAAACACATACATCAGCCTGGTGAGGTGCTGCACGCTTGTAAGCCCAGCAGCTCGGGAGGCTGAGGCAGGAGGATCAGGAGTTCAAACCTGGCCTCAGCAACTTAGTGAGGCCCTAAGCAACTTAGCAAGGCTCTAACCAACTTAAAGGGACCCTGTCTCTAAATATAATATWAAAAAGGCTGGGGATGTGGCTTAGTGGTTGAGTGTCCCTGAGTTCAATCCCCAGTACCCCCCACCCAAAAAAAAAAAAAAATCCCACATACCAATAAATAAGTAAAGAAAGTGTAAATTCAGGCTGTGGTACAGCTCAGTGGTGGATGCCTGTCTGGCATGCACAAAGGCCTGGGTTCCAATGTATTCAGAGTTGTACAATCATCATCACGGTCCAAATCCTATTCCAGAACATTCTCATCATCGCAAAAAGAAACCCTTCCGCCAGCAGTCACCCTGTTATCTCTCCGACATGGTGCACGTGTGTCTGACACTCCCTGTCTCTACAGACCCTGCTCTGGAATGTGCCCGTGGAGTCCCACATACTATGTGACCTTTTCTGCTACACACTCTTTTTTTTTTTTGGTGGCATGCCTCACACATGCCAGACAAGCCCTCCACCACCAAGCTACATCCCAGCCTGAAGCTTTCTGTGTGTCCTTTCTGTCTGTGTGTGTGGGGGGGGGGTGGAGAGGCGTTGGGGAGTATACCCAGGGATACTCTACCTCTGAGCCACATCCCCAGTCCTTTTTGAGACAGAGTCCCCCAGATTGGTTAGGATCTCATTAAGTTGTAAAGCTAGCCTCAAACTTGTGATACTCCCCATTCACAGAGATCACTGGTGTACACCACCACACCCTGCCTCCCAGCCCTTTGTATTCTGAGGCGGAGTCTGTTTCATGACCAGGCTGGCCTAGAACTTAGCAGTGCCCTGTGCCAGCTCCCCTCTGGTGCTACTCATAACCCCTTCCTATTCACTGAGGCGAGGGGTGCAGGCCTGTGATCCCAGCATTGGATTGAGATGGGAACACTCACTGACCCCCGTTCTGTCCACAGAGAGCCCTGACGAGCACAGTGCAATGCCCCATCCCAGCTCAGCTGTGCCTCCTCCTGGTGACTCACAGGGCTCCAGGAGAGGGAGCCCAGGAGCCCTGGTTTGTCAACAGCCCTGGTCTCTGGATTCAGGGAGAACCCGCTGTCATACCCTCCCATGGCCCAGGGTCAGAAGCTCCTTCTTTTAAGCAACTACCCAATCTCCTCTCACGAAAAACAACACCGTAGCCCAGAGAAGCAACTGAGACTGTCTTCCAGGTAAACCTGTCCTCACAGTTGGCTGGGACTAGGAACGCCAGGTGACAGGCACAAGAGGCTTCCCTGCCCCAGTTTCCAGTTGTGAAGAACAACTTCCCCAACAGAGGTTGAGGGCATAGCTCAGAAGCAGAGCACACACCACAGTAAAAAATACTTCATTAACACAAACAAAATTATGGGCTTGAGTTACAGCTCAGCGGCAGAGCGCTTCCCTAGCACATGTGAGGCACTGGGTTCTTGCCTCAGCACCATATAAAAATATTGTATCCACCTAAAATTTAAAAAATAACATTTTTTAAAAAAAGGTATTATGTCCATCTTCAACTAAAAAAATTTTTTAATTGTTCCCACCTTAAACCATACATAGTCGCCCTCCTTAATCTGCAGGGGGACATGTCCCAAGACTCCCAGTAGATGCCTGGATCATGGAGAAGCCCTCAGCATGATGACTGTGGCAGAGTTTAATTTACAAACCAGGTACAGCAAGTTGTGAACTACAGGCAGTGCAGAGCAGAACCACCACAACTGCACACGCACAAGGCGTGGGTCTGGAGCGCCACCAGGAAATGCAGGCCACTGGACAAGCACTGTGAACCACAGCAGCATGTCCAGGCACCAAGATGGCCGGGGGACACATTCACGGTTGCCAGGACACACAGTACGCAGGTGCTGGCAAAGGATGCTCGTGCCTCAGGCGGAGCAAGCAGGATAGCAGAAGTGTCCATCATGCTATGCAAAATGACGAGCAATTTAAAACTTACAAGTGGCTTATTTCTGGAATTCTCCATCTAGTATTTTGGGGCAGAGGCTGACTATGGGTAACTGAGCCCTCAGGCAAAGCAGAACACAGTGTCACAAGGGAAGGTGGTTCCTGACACCAGGTTGCTCCTTCCAGGACTGCTCACCTCCAACTAGGGCAAGGACCTGGGGGTCCTGCAGATACCAACTCTGAATCTTCACTGACACACACAGGGGTGGGGGTGGAAGCAAGAAAGTCCCAGGTGTCGTGGTCAGCAAGAGAACTCACAGAGACACACACCCACGATAAGGAACCCCAGGTCAGGGAGGAGGCCAGGTGTGGCTCCTGGCCCTGCCACCAATCTGCCCAGCAGGTTCCTTTACCAGGGCCACCTGCACACCCTCACTGCTGTTCTGCATCCATTCTGAGGAAGGTCCCAGTCCTAGGGTTCCTACACCAGGCTGCAGAGCAAGAACTGTGCCAGGGCAGAGACCAGCAGAGACCATGAGCGAGGACACAGTGGCAGGCTGGGGGGGATCCTCAGTGGACGCCTACCCAGCACATGGAAGCCCTAGGTTCATCCCCAGCACCACAGAGGCCAGAAAAGAGACCAGGAGTCCCCAACAAGGACAACACTAAACCAAGCRCAGCCTTCTTCTGCAGGTCTGTGGTCCCCAGACAGTGGCCCAGCCTCAGGCCCCTGGTCTGCACGGCAGACCCCCCCCCCCAGCACACCTCGGTACTGCCAGGCCTCCAGGCTGCTGACACCCTTCCCTGACCCCTGTCAACTGGTGTCCTTCAGACCCCACCACCTACGCCCCTCAGCCTTCAGCATTGGGAAAAGCCCAATCAGATCTGAAGGGTAGTCATGCCCGCTCCACACTCCAACTCCCACTTCTGCACAGCAACACCTCTGACCGCCCACCTTTAGCAGAGGCTGCAGAATGAAAACGTGCCTTAGAGACCCAGTGCTCTCTGGCCAGGGACTGGCTCCTGGGCTGAGCAGAGCCTCAGGAAAAGAGCTACTCCACCAGGTGCTCAGTTCCCCGGGAAGCAGGAAACAGCCTTCCAGAAG